TGCCCAAATGTGGACACTGACGGAGTTTTGGGAAAATAGACCTTGCCATTTGGGAGTTGTAGTTGCTGGGATTTATAGTTCACCTACAAAGAGCATTCTGAACTCTACCAATGATGAAATTGAACCAAACCTGGCACGCAGAACTCCCACGACCAACAAAAAAAACTGAGAGGGTTTGGTAGGCATTGACCTTGAGTTTTGGAGTTGTAGTTCACCTACATACAGGGAGCAATGATGGATCTGGACCAAACTTGGCACAAATGCTCAATATGCCCAAATGTGATCACTGGTGGAGTTTGGGAAAAATAAACTTGACATCTGGGAGTTGTAGTTGCTGGGATTTATAGTTCACCAACAATCAAAGAGCATTCTGATCCTCACCAATGATAGAATTGGGCCAAACTTCCAATGGAGAACCCCCATGACCAACTGAATATACTGTGTTTTCTAGTTTTTGGCGACCCCTTTGACATCCCCCTCGCGACCCTCCCCAGGGGTCCTGACCCCCAGGTTGAGAAATGCTGTTTTATATTTTCAAATCCCTTATCGTTTGTTATGTTTACTATGGAGAACTGAAGTTCAAAAACATCCAGGTTGCATTTCAATGCGCTCAGGAACCCATTTTGTCATAAAGTAGCAACAAGAAGAACTTCCTGACTGTGAGAGCCATTCAGCAGTGGAACTCTCTGCCCCGGAGTGTGGTGGAGGCTCCTTCTTTGGAGGCTTTGAAACAGAGGCTGGATGGCCATCTGTCAGGGGTGATTTGAATGCAATATTCCTGCTTCTTGGCAGAATGGGGTTGGACTGGATGGCCCTGGAGGTCTCTTCCAACTCTTTGATTCTATGATGCAACCTCACCACAAAAGACACCTCTCAGGATGCCCCAGAGAGAGAGTTTCACTAGATTTCTTTCCCAATTTGATTTCCCCTTGCCTCCTTTTGCCATTATGAAATAGCAGCAGTGTCCCGTAGTCTTATACAGACTCACTGAAACAAAGTCATGTGACAATCCTTGGGTATGTTTCCAATTATTGTACTTGAGATTTTTTTGCCCGGCCTGTGAGGACAAACAGCTTTCTGATGCAGTCTGTTTTTCTGCTTCTTTGTTGTAAGTCTCTTTTAATATTTTATTTTTTCGAAAACGTATGTGTCTTTTCTCCTTCTCCCCTAGAACAGCTCTGATTTCTCCTGGAGGAAGTGATAAGAGAGTGGTAACCTTCTGATTGGATGCTTCGTTTTGATTAAATATCCTCAATTACCCTTTATTGGAAAGGATTTTTAACAAGAGAGTGCTGAATGTGTTGACGAAGGCTTTCATGGCCGGAATCACTGGGTTGCTGTGAGTTTTCCGGACTGTATAGCCATGTTCCAGGAGCATTCTCTCCTGACGTTTCACCCACATCTATGGCAGGCATCCTCAGAGGTTGTGAGGTCTGTTGGAAGCTAGGCAAGTCAGGTTTGTATATCTGTGGAATTGTCCAGGGTGGGAGAAAGAATTCTTGCTTGCTTGAGGCAAGTGTGCATGTTGCAATTGGTCACCTTGATTAGCACTGAATAGCCTTGTAGCTTCAAAGCCTGTCTGCTTCCTGCCTGGGAAATCCTTTGTTGGGGCATGTTAGCTGGCCCTCATTGTTTCCTGTCTGGAATTCCCCTGTTTTCCGAGTGTTGCTCTTTATTGACTGTCCTGATTTTAGAGTTTTTTTAAAATACTGGTAGCCAGATTTTGTTCATTTTAATGGTTTCCTTCTTTCTTTTGAAATTGTCCACATGCTACCTTCATGACCGCATCTCTGTATATGAACCCACACGATATTTTTGATCTCTGGAGAGGCCCTGCTCTCGATCCCACCAGCATCGCAGGCGCGATTGGTGGGGACGAGAGAGAGGGCCTTTTCGGTGGTTGCCCCTCGACTCTGGAACTCACTCCCTAAAGACATCAGACAGGCCCCAACTTGGCAGTCTTTAGGAGGAGCTTGAAGACGTGGTTGTTCCAGTGTGCCTTCCCAGAATAATGTTCCCATAGCACTTTGTCCTCCAAAGCACTTGATATTGTTTTAAGTCTGCTTGTATGTTTCCACAAACTGCCCCATCACTCTTTTCGCCCATGTCCAGCATTATTTTTTAATTTTAATTACATTTGGCCTACCCATAGATTTTAAAGTGTGTTGTCTTATTTGATAATGTTTATGTTATTGTTTTACTGTTTTGTTGTTTTAAATTGCTTGTATTGTTATTGTTATTGCTTGTATTGTTGTATTTTGGGCTCGGCCTCATGTAAGCCGCACCAAGTCCCTTGGGGAGATGGTAAGTAAAGGTAGTCCCCTGACATTAAGTCCAGTCATGTCCGACTCTGGGGGTGTGGTGCTCATCTCCATTTCTAAGCCGAAGAGCCAGCGTTGTCCGTAGACACCTCCAAGGTCATGTGGCCAGCATGACTGCATGGAGCGCCGTTACCTTCCCACCGGAGCGGTACCTATTGATCTACTCACATTTGCATGTTTTCAAACTGCTAGGTTGGCAGAAGCTAGGGCTGACAGTGGAAGCTCACGCTGCTCCCTGGAATTGAACCTGCGACCTTTTGGTCAACAAACTCAACAGCTCAGTGCTTTAAAACACTGCGCCACCGGGAGGCCCCAGAACTCCCATGACCAACAGAAAATACTGGAAGGGTTTGGTGGGGCTATATGGTCATGTTCCAGAAGCATTCTCTCCTGTTTCACCTGCAACAAGCATCCTCTGAGGATGCTTGCCATAGATGCAGGCGAAACGTCAGGAGAAATGCCTCTAGAACATGGCCCTATAGCCCGAAAAAACCCACAAGAACCTAGTGATTCCAGCCATGAAAGCCTTCGACAATTATTATTATTATTATTATTATTATTATTATTATTATTATTTGAAATTGTCCACATGCTTGTGGATTTCAATGGCTTCTCTGTGTAGTCTGACATGATAGTTGTTAGAGTGGTCCAGCATTTATATGTTCTCAAATAATATGCTGTGTCCAGGTTGGTTCATCAGGTGCTCTGCTATGGCTGACTTCTCTGGTAGAAGTCTCTGATTCATAGAATCAAAGAGTTTGAAGAGACCTCATGAGCCATCCAGTCCAACCCCCTGCCAAGAAACAGGAATATTGCATTCAAATCACCCCTGATAGATGGCCATCCAGCCTCTGTTTAAAAGCTTCCAAAGAAGGAGCCTCCACCACACTCCGGGGCAGAGAGTTCCACTGCTGAATGGCTCTCACAGTCAGGAAGTTCTTCCTCATGTTCAGATGGAATCTCCTCTCTTGTAATTTGAAGCCATTGTTCCATTGCGTCCTAGTCTCCAAGGAAGCAGAAAACAAGCTTGCTACCTCCTGCCTGTGGCTTCCTTTCACATATTTATACATGGCTATCATATCTCCTCTCAGCCAGGTCATGGAGTTCTTCTATTCGGATTGACCCAACAGGCAGGGCACACATGGAAACCCCATGCGAGCAGCACGTGGCATCCTCTCAATGCACTGTGTGATGTCGAATAGGGGCAGAGGAGCCATGATTGGGTGCCACATGGTCCCATAAAGATCTTGGAGTCCTCGTGGACAACAAGTTAAACATGAGCCAACAATGTGATGAAGCAGCAAAAAAAAAAAAAAAAAAGCGCCAATGTGATTTTGACCTGCATCAATAGGAGTCTAGTGTCTAGATCCAGGGAAGTCATGCCACCCTTTTATTCTGCCTTGGTTAGACCACACCTGGAGAGAGATATTCAAGAGAGATATTGACAAGCTGGAATGTGTCCAGAGGAGGGCGACTCAAATGATCAAGAGTCTGGAGAACAAGCCCTATGAGGAGCGGCTTAAAGAGCTGGGCATGTTTAGCCTGAAGAAGAGAAGGCTGAGAAGAGACATGATGGATAAATATGTGAAAGGAAATCATAGGGAGGAGGGAGCGAACTTGTGTTCTGCTGCCCTGGAGACTAAGATGCGGAGTAATGGCTTCAAACTACAAGAAAAGAGATTCCATCTGAACATTAGGAAAAACTTCCTGACTGTGAGAGCTGTTCAGCAGTGGAACCCTCTGCCCCGGAGTGTGGTAGATGCTCCTTCTTTAGAGGCTTTTAAACAGAGGCTGGATGGCATCTGTCAGGGATGCTTTGAAAGTTCAAATTTTCCTGCTTCTTGGCAGGGGGTTGGACTGGATGGCCCATGAGGTCTCTTCCAACTTTTTGATTCTATGATTCTGTGTTTTCTGAGTGTTGCTCTTTATTGACTGTCCTGATTTTAGAGTTTTTTTAATACTGGTTGCAGATTTTGTTCATTTTAATGGTTTCGTGATGTCAAATAGGGGGGGGGGAGGAGCCATGATTGGGGGCCACAGGACCCCTGTGTTAAACAGTGTGATGCAACCAGAGGCGGCCCTAGGTAATTTTCAACGGTAAGCAAACAGTATTCCCCCCCCCCCAACCAATCACTGATATATATTTTCTGTTCGTCGTGGGAGTTCTGTGTGCCATATTGGTTCAATTCCATCATTGGTGGAGTTCAGAATGCTCTTTGATTGTAGGTGAACTATACATCCCAGTAACTACAACTCGCATATGTCAAGATCTGTTTTCCCCCAAGAGCGCCTCAAGAGCGCCCCTGGGCAAAATCAACTATACTGGAAATGCTTACTTTGCGTAATGGGTTGAGCCATCCCTGTGGCTGGGGCCTTAGTGTTATGGTTGTCCGGCCAAGCTAAACAATCCAGATTGGCCAAAGAGAACCGACCACTCCGAATCTGTGCACAAGCCTAATATCATTTAACATAATTAGTTTTAACACGTCCTTAGGAGAACAGTGAGCAAAATACTTCTTTTCTACTCTCCTAGTATGCTTGGAGACACACCTAAACAACACTTACCATGCCCAGCATATCTTTGGAGATAGAAAAAAAATCCACATAAATTTAGCAAATGGTTATTTGTGACCTGAAGGGCTGTGTCTTAAATCAGTGTGTTGTTTTCATTTGTGCCAGGGAGAAAAGCAGAAAAGTCGTATTGATGACTGACTCCTGACTTTGCCTCCATCCTCTGATTTCCAAGAACATTACTTTTCAAGAAACTTAACTGCAACAATGAAGAAAAGAATTAAAGCAACAGCTATGGCAAATCGCTAGGGGACAGAATATTATTTGGTCCCTGAAGATGGAGAGACCGAACGGCTCAAAGACTCGGAAATCGAAGACGCTACGCTCCCTTTCGCGCTCCCTCATCCTCTGCAATGGCAAGAGCAGTGATGATGGATCGAGCCCGGAGGAGAAATGCCCCAACCCCTTTGAGGACCAAGCCAATTGGGGTCAAGAGGAAGCAAGCCACTGCCCTCGCCTTGAATTAGTGTGTACTTCGTCCAGTGAAGGTGGCTCTCCTGATCCACTTATGCTCACCAGCATGATGCAGCTGAGAGCCTCAGCCAGTGATAGCTGCAAGAATATCAAGAGAAAGTTCTTCATAAAGGTAGGAGAGCATCAACTATTGGCTATTCAGTATTTCCAAGGATTGGGTGAGATTCTCCCCTTCCTCAGCATGAACTGTCTCGGCGTTGTAGATGCAGAGGCATCAAACCCTGGCCAATATTCTTTCCTCAGAGGCAGCATAAATTGCGTGCCAAGGGTATTACACCCCTCCTGTGTTGCTGGCTCATCCAAGGCACTCTTCATTCAGTGGCACAGCAGGCTGCCCCTTTCCTGGAATGGGGAGAGAGCATCACCACAGGGCAAATCTGTCATTATGGCGTGGTGCACAGCAGGGATAAGCTGAGGTCTTGCAGGCATCTTTTAGAAAGCGCTCCTGAGTTTAAGAGCTGTTTGTTTGGAGGACATTCTGGAAGATGGTCTATATTTTCATTTACTGCTAGTCTTACTTACTACTTACTTGCTTACTTAGGCGATCCCTCGCCTAAGATGGTCTTCCATGATGGGTTTCGTAGGTGGCTGTGGAGCCCTATTCTTGACCTGCATCTTCTCCCACAGTGAAGGCATTGGTTTCCAGGTGGAAGGCGGTCCTGGTCGGGGTTGGCTTGACGCGCCTTCCTCCTGGCACGTTTCTCTCTTTCACCCTCCACTCGTGCCTCCTCGAATTCTGCAGCACTGCTGGTCACAGCTGACCTCCAGCTGGAGCGCTCAAGGGCCAGGGCTTCCCAGTTCTCAGTGTCTATGCCAGAGTTTTTAAGGTTGGCTTTGAGCCCATCTTTAAATCTCTTTTCCTGTCCACCAACATTCCGTTTTCCGTTCTTAAGTTCAGAGTAGAGCAACTGCTTTGGGAGACGGTGGTCAGGCATCCGGACAACGTGGCCGGCCCAGCGGAGTTGATGGCAGAGGACCATCGCTTCAATGCTGGTGGTCTTTGCTTCTTCCAGCATGCTGACAGTTTGTCCGCTTGTCTTCCCAAGAGATTTGCAGGATTTTCCGGAGGCAGCGATGGTGCATGTGACGTCTGTAGACAGTCCACGTTTCACAGGCTAGCAGGGTTGGGAGGACAATAGCTTTATAAACAAGCACCTTAGTATCCTTACAGATGTCCCGGTCCTCAAACACTCTCTGTTTCATTCGGCAAAATGCTGCACTCGCAGAGCTCAGGCAGTGTTGTATTTCAGTGTCAATGTTGACTTTGGTGGAGAGTAGCGGAAATGGTCAACATTTTTTAATGTTACACCATTAAGCTGTATCTCTGGCATTGGAGAGGGGTTGGCTGGTGACTGCTGGAACAGCACTTTGGTTTTCTCGATGTTCAATGACAGGCCGAGCTTCTTGTATGCTTCTGCAAAGGTGTTTAGAGTGGCTTGTAGATCTTCTTCTGAATGCGCACAGATGACGTTGTCATCAGCATACTGGAGTTCTATAACAGATGTTGTTGTAACCTTGGTTTTGGCTTTCAGTCTGCTGAGGTTAAACAGCTTGCCATCTGTCCGATAGATGATTTTCACTCCGGTGGGAAGCTTCCCATCAACAAGGTGAAGTATCATAGCGATGAAGATGGAAAATAAGGGGGCAATAACACATCCCTGTTTGACACCTGATTCCTCCTTAAATGGGTCACTTTGGGAGCCATTGCTGTCCAAGACTGTTGCCATCATGTCATCATGGAGGAGCTGCAGGATGTTCACAAATTTGTTAGGGCACCCGATTTTGGAGGATGGTCCAGAGAGCGCTGCGATTCACTGTGTCGAATGCCTTTGCAAGGTCGATGAATGCCATGTACAGAGGTTGATTTTGTTCCTTACTGCTAGTCTAGAGTATGTATGGCTCCAATATTGGAGAACTGAGAGCCTTCCAATGCTGGAAGTTAATTACTATGAAATTATTATGAAAGCCAGGTTAGAAAATAATGTTGTATTGTCCAGGTGGGGTGGTTGCTGCTGTCGTCACTTCTACAATATTAAATAGTTCTTGCAAGATCATTAATGATAATGTATGTGTATTGAAGGAAGCTGTGGGCATTCAGTTCTATCTAGGGCATGAGGAGACTTAAGGAGCCTTCAGGGCCACATGCTGCTCGATTGCTTCAGTTACTCCATCCCTGAAAAAATATGCTTGCTTTGTCTTCCCAACCAGGATAGTTGCATTTGGAAGCTCTGCGCTGCCACAGGAAATGATAACCTAGGAATTCAAGTCTCTCAAAGTCCCAATTGTTCCACTTTTGGAAAAGAACTCACAGTGAACTACATGATCGATGGAGGAGCCGCCCAGAGGTACTTCACCTTTCCTTTAAAATCCCATTTTTGTGTGTCAGAATCAACTTGAGAAACTGTAGCCAACTGAAACTTTGGGGGGGGGGGGTCAACTCCAAGGAGAGATGACCCTTAGTTCCCACCAAAGAGGGAACGCTACCTTGGCAAGCCTTCAGAGAAGCCTGATTCCAGCAATTTTATTTAATATTAATAATTGAAATGAGACTCTTGCCAAAGCGAAGAAGGGGCATCGAGGTTTAATGAGCGATTCAGCTGAGATCGGAGCCCGCCAGACAAACTCAGAGAGCAGGCAGAGGAAATCCCAACTTGTTATTGTCCATGCAAACGTTGAATGATTAGACCAGTTTTGAGGGAGGCGGTGGTCCCCCCCCTCAGGCAGTGAGCAATCTCTGGTCCCCTTTTTCTAGGGCAAAGGGCAAAGGAAAAGGCAAAGGGGCAAGCAATATTTTATACATACACAATCAATATATCATACAGGAAAAGATCCCGTCCCCATCCCTCATCCCAAATATTTAATAAAGGAAAATTATCATTTTATTTGAAAGCTTGGAGTCAGAAGTTTTAAAAGGTCTTTGAGGAAAGTTCATGAGGGAGATAGTATGTACTGAAGTCCAAGACATGCAGGCAGAGAGTCCATGATCATTGGGAAGGCTGGCAGATGAAACCCCAGCTGTGCTGCAACTGATTCACACTTTGGTCCTTGGGAAACTACAACTCTCACGAAGGGCAGAAGTCCCAAGATCCAGCCATTTCCCAAAAGCCTCGTGGGGTCCTTGTTGTTGTCAGTGCCTTGGCAATGTGACCAAGACTTAACCCCTATTGTGCAGTCTGGTACCTTTGTCCTTTGCAGAACTATAAGTCACCATCCCTTGTTGGGGGGGGGGCATGCTCGACGTCAATACTGCAAGTCGCTTCTGATGTGAGGGAATTGGCCTTCTGCAGGGACATTGCTCAGGGGATGCCCTGATGTGATACCATCTTATGGAAGGCTTCTTTCATGTCCTCTCATGGGAAGCTGTAGCTGACAGATGGGAGCTCACCCTGTCTGGCGGATTTGAAGCTCTGACCTTCAAATCAGCAGTTCAGCCGGCACAAGGGTTTAACCCATTGTGCCACTGTGGCTCACTTATTAAATCCTATGAAAGGCAAAAATTACAGGGAAACATTGCAGTTATCTTTATATATGTGATGGTCTTGCAGTATCCAAAAGGTGGAACAGACTTGCAGTGCTTTCCGCCCTGAGGGCAGGGCTAAAACGGAATGTCCTGCATCTCTGCCTTAGGATGTTTAGGGTTTGTTATTAAACAGTTGTGTATCTCTCTGTTGTTCCCTTTTCAGGGGTGGCTGCGTGAGGTCTGGTGATGAGCGGTTGAAGGTTAATGGGCAATCTGTTAAAGAGCTCTCCAGTAAAGAGGCAGAATCCATCATCCAATCAGCAAAAGGATTGGTAAATTTAGTCATTGCTAACAAGGTAATCAGGCCTGGGAAGTTCAATGTAGCTGCTTCTGGGTTCTGATCAGAGCCTAATAAGGAACTTTTCAAAACTTTGGTTTCGGGGGACCTTGTGCAACAGGTCTTAGGCCCCTTCTATGCTACCCTATATCCCGGGATCTGATCCCAGATTATCTACTTTATTATAATAATAATAATAATCATCATCATCATCATCATCATCTTTATTAATATCCCACCACCATCTCCCTAATGGGGACTCGGGGCGGCTAACATGAGGCCAAGCCCAAAAGTAGTACAACAAAATAAGACACAAAACAACAGAAAATTAAACATAACAAAATACATAATGTAACAAAATAAAATAGACAATGCAAAATAACATATTGTCGAAGGCTTTCGTGGCTGGAATCACTGGTTGTTGTAGGGTTTTTCGGGTTATATGGCCATGGTCTAGAGGCATTCTCTCCTGACGTTTCACCTACATCTATGGCAAGCATCCTCAGAGGTAGTGAGGTCTGTTGGAACTAAGAAAAAGGGTTTATATATCTGTGGAACAACCAGGGTGGGACAAAGGACTGTCATCTGCTGGAGCTAGGTGTGAATGTTTCAACTGTCCACCTTGATTAGCATATAATGGCACAACAACAGAGAGGAAACAAACAAGGACATCTAATCACCTCTCAACAAACGTTTGCTCCAGGCACTGTCAGGCCATTATATGCTAATCAAGGTGGTCAGCTGAAACATTCACACCCAGCTCCAGCAGACAAGAGTCCCTTGTCCCACCCTGGTCATTCCACAGATATATAAATCCAATTTTTCCTAGTTCCAACAGACCTCACAACCTCTGAGGATGCTTGCCATAGGTGCAGGCGAAACGTCAGGAGAGAATGCCTCTAGAACATGGCCATATAGCCCGAAAAACCCTACAACAACCCAAAATAACATAATAAAATCAATCAAAAAGGGCGGGCCAAATGTGCAAGATAATGTTAAAAACTTTAAAACCCTGGGTGAGATAGGAAATAGAAAAGTGTATTTGAAAATGTCCCCATTGCCAAATAATCTGGAATAAGAAGATAATCTAGGATCAGATCCTGGATTTGATATAGGAGCAATATGGAAGGGGTCCGAGTTTCCCTATATATCAGGGCTTCTTACATCCCTTCTACACTGCCATATAATCCAAGTTGTCAAAGCAGATAATCCACATTATCTGCTTTGAACTGACTCTACGCTGCCATATAATCCAGTTCAAAGCAGATAATCTGGATGTACAAGCGGCCAGAGCCTATACTGCCAGTGAATCTGGGATAAGAAGATAATCTGGGATCCAATTCTGGGATATAGGGTATTGTAGATCCAGCCTCAATCAAAGGTGCCTTCTACAGTGCCATATAATCCAAGTTATCAAAGCGGATAATCCGCATTATCTGCTTTGAACTGGATTATTTGTGTCTACACTGCCATATAATCTAGATCAAAACTGACAATCTGGATTTTATACAGCAGAGTAAAAGGGCCTTAAACGTCCACTTGTGACCCCTTTCTGTCCAGAGTACCTTTTATTCAACCTAGATAAATCAGCATTGGGTATTCAGGTTTTAATTTGTCTGTTTTCTATTTGTGTTCTTTTTTTATTTTGTGAAAATCTGGAAGGTGCCTCTACTCTGCTGACTGCGTTTTGTCGATCCAAGTTTCAACACCCTCTATTAAGATTTTCTGAAATATGGGAGCTATTACCAGAATCTTCCAAATACATAAATAATGCCTTGATATGATAGAGGAAAAGGGATGGAGAAAGCCTTCCTCCTACTTGAGCCAGGAATGTTCATGTGAGATATTGCCTCGAGTGTATGGAGTCACAAGCTAATCCCATCCTCTCTCAACATTTCACAGTTGAAACCAGGACACATCTGGCTAAACAACATCAGTGTGCAGTCAGGATAGCGGTAGTTATACATGAGGAAGAATAGACAAGCTAGGAAAAGCTGCAACAGTTTGCTTTTGCCTGTAGTTACTGGGAAGGGCAAGATGTTACTCTTTCTGTTGAGTTAATGGAGCACAAACTACTTTTGCATTTTGTACGCAATTTACAGCAGTTGAGCTAAACCAGGCATGGGCCAACTTTGGTCTTCTCTCTAAGTCAGTGGTTCTCAACCTTCCTAATGCCACGACCCCTTAATACAGTTCCTCTTGTTGTGGTGACCCCCAACCATAACATTATTTTCGTTGTATTGTCGAAGGCTTTCATGGCCGGAATCCATGGGTTGTTGTAGGTTTCGGGCTATATGGCCATGTTCTAGAGGCATTTCTCCTGACGTTTCGCCTGCATCTATGGCAAGCATCCTCACTAGGATGCTTGCCATAGATGCAGGCGAAACATCAGGAGAAATGCCTCCAGAACATGGCCATATAGCCCGGAAAAACCTACAACAACCCATTATTTTCGTTGCTACTTCATAACAGTAATTTTGCTAATGTTATGAATTGTAATGTAAATATAAGATATGCAGGATGTATTCACTGGACCAAATTTGGGACAAATACCCGATACGCGAAAATTTTGACACTACTGGGGTAGGAGGGAGGATTAATTTTGTCATTTGGGAGTTGTAATTTCTGGGATTTACAGTTCACCTATAATCAAAGAGCATTGTGAACTCTACCAACGATGGAATTGAACACAGAACTCCCACGACCAACATAAAATACTGGAAGGGTTTAGTGGGCATTGACCTTGAGTTTTGGACTTGTAGTTCGCCTACATCCATAGAGCAATACCCCATATGCCCACATTTGAATACTGGTTGGGTTGGGGCAGGATTGATTTTGTCATTTGGGAGTTGTAGTTGCTGGGATTTATAGTTCACCTACAATCAAAGAGCATTCTGAACCTCACCAACGATGGAATTTGAACCAAACTTGGCAACAGAACTTCCATGACCAACAAAAAATACTGGAAGGATTTGGTGGGTATTGAACTTGAGTTTTGGAGTTGTAGTTCACCTATCCAGAGAGCACTGTGGACTCAAACAATGATGGATCTGGACCAAACTTGGCACAAATACTCATATTCCCAAATATGAACACAGACAGAGTTTGGAGGAAACAGACCTTGACATTTGGGAATTGTAGTTGCTGGGATTTATAGTTCATCTATAATCAAAGAGCATTCTGAACCTCACCAATGATAGAATTGAGTCAAACTTCCCACACAAAATGGCCATGACCAACAGAAAATACTGTGTTTTCTGATAGTCTCTGGTGACCCCTCTGACCCTCCCTCATGACCCCAATAGGGGTCCTGACCCCCAGGTTGAGAAATGCTGTTCTAGGTGTTTTGGACTTCAACTCCAACCATTCCTAACAGCCTCGGGCCCCGTTCCTTTTCCCCCTCAGCCACTTAAGCCCAAGGCTGTTAGGAATGGTGGGAGTTGAAGTCCAAAACACCTGGAGAGCCAAAGTTTGCCCAGGCCTGTGCTAAACTGAGGACAAAGGGAGAAAGTGAGGGAGGAGAGAGAAAGTGGGACATTTTAAAAACAGCTGTCAAAGTAGAATGGCAGAAGGTTAATTTTTCTTTCTTTCCATCCATTCCAGGAATCCTCAGTTTGCGTAAACGAAGAGCAACCCATTAAACTGAACAGGCAAAATGGCTCCATTCTACAGACCAAAGCCAAGTGCCAAAGGACTCGCAGTAATTCAGCCAGTGAGTTTAATACAGATTGTGATTGTTTTTGGAAAGGCATGACTTTTCATAGAATCCTAGAGTTGGAAGAGACCTCATGGGCCATCCAGTCCAACCCCATTCTGCCAAGAAGCAGGAAAATCGCATTCAAAGCACCCCCGGCAGATGGCCATCCAGCCTCTGTTTAAAAACTTCCAAAGAAGGAGCCTCCACCACACCCAGAGGCTGTGAGGTCTGCTCCATGCACCTGATCCATGCTGGGGCTTTCTCTAGACTTCTTATATACTCACTTTAGCATTAATAAGTTAATAGACTATTCAAACCCTTCTGGATGGTATCAGTATAGTAATACATGTAATATTTATATTACATGTAATATTACTAATAATGTTACAGTATAATGGTATAGTGCAATATAGTAATATATAATACTGATATTGTACTATGCTAATAATATAATATATTGTATACTAGCCGTAGAAGATGGCTTTGAAAGGCAGCAGATCACAGGAGCTGTCTTCATAGACCTGTCAGCAGCTTATGATATTGTGAACCACCGCTTCCTAATATGTATAATATCACAAAGGACAACCACCTCACCCGCCTCATAGGAAACCTGCTACAAAACAGGAGCTTTTTTGTTGAGTTCCAGGGCCAGAGAAGCAGATGGCGGAAACAGAAGAACGGCCTGCCTCAGGGGAGTGTGCTCACTCCATCCATGTTCAACATCTACACAAATGACCAGCCACTGCCAGAAGGGACAGAGAGTTTCATCTATGCTGATGATCGTGCCATTACCGCTCAAGCAGGGAGCTTTGAGATGATAGAACAGAAGCTCTCCGAAGCTCTAGGTGCTCTTACTGCCTATTACAGGGAAAACCAGCTGATCCCTAACCCATCTAAAACACAGATATGTACTTTTCATCTCAAGAACAGACAAGCATCCCAAGCTCTGAGGATCACCTGGGAAGGAATCCCACTGGAGCATTGCAGCGCACCCAAATACCTGGGAGTAACTCTGGACTGTGCTCTGACCTACAAGAAGCACTGCCTGAACATCAAGCAAAAGTGGGTGCTAGAAACAATATCATACGAAAGCTTACTGGCATAACCTGGGGATCACAACCAGACACAGTGAAGACATCTGCCCTTGCGCTATGCTACTCTGCTGCTGAGTACGCATGCCCAGTGTGGAACACATCTCACCACGCTAAAACAGTGGATGTGGCTCTTAATGAGACATGGCACATTATCACGGGGTGTCTGCGCCCTACAACACTGGATAAACTACACCAGTATTGCACCACTTGACATCCGCCAGGAAGTAGCAGCCAATAGTGAAAGGACCAAGGCAGAGACATCTCCAGCTCATCCCTTGTTTGGGCATCAGTCAGCATGCCAACGACTTAAATCAAGAAATAGTTTTCTAAGATCTACAAGAGACACTCGCTGGAACACCTCAGCAAGCGAGAGTCCAAAAGTGGCAGGCTCAAACCCAGAACCTCAATCAATGGCTGATACCAAATGAGAGACTCCCCCCTGGGCACACAGAGGACTGGGCGACTTGGAAGGCGCTGAACAGACTGCGCTCTGGCACCACGAGATGCAGAGCCAACCTCAAGAAATGGGGCCACAAAGTGGAATCCACGACATGTGAGTGTGGAGAAGAGCAAACTACAGACCATCTGCTGCAATGTAACCTGAGCCCTACCACATGCACAATGGAGGACCTCCTTGCGGCAACACCAGAGGCACTCCAAGTGACCAGATACTGGTCAAAGGACATTTAATCAACTACCAAGCTTGCAAACTCTGTGTTTTGTCTGTTTGTTTGTTTGTTGTGTCAAAAATGTAATACAACTGTTCAGTTGCCTGACACGATAAATAAATAAAATAAATAAATAAGTAGTGATCATAATGCAGCGTGCGTGTGAGGAAGCTGCTCTGAATCCCCTTTGGGGTGAGAAGGACGGCATATAAATGTCGTAAATAAATAAATACGTTAAATCAGTTAATAACTATTTCATATCTTCCCCTTTCTGTTTTTGAACAGGCGTGAGTCCCTACTGGATTGGCGAAATCGATGGTCCGATGGCCAAAAAGTCAGCCTCCCGATACAGACAGTCCCATTCTCTTTCCAGCAACAGGAAGTCACTCTCTCAGCAGCTGGACAGTTCAACAGGAAGAGCTCCTGTGAGTCCAAGACGAAAGGGAAACTCATCAGGTTGCAGCACCCCAAGGCAAAGCTAAATAAGGGGCAGCTGCAGTGTCGCTATGCAGGCAAAGCTCCCCCTCTCCATTGCACCTCCAAACCCATTACATGTAGTTTCCCTGTAATGAGGCAGATTGCATCCCAATATCCCAGTATTTCCTGTAGGATTTCCAGATAATAGGATATTAATTCTTATACTCTGTCCTGGGGAGGGATAGGTTAATTAGCAGCTCCGCAAGACAACATATCCAAGTTGGCTGCCCTTCTGTATCTCTCAATGGCAGACAGGTATACCTTGGTTAACAAAGTGAATGTGTTCCTGGGCATGGCTTCTTTACTGGAACTTGGAATAACATGGAAAGAATAGGCAGAGTAAGGACCCTGTAGCATACTTGCAGTCCTCTAGATATTGTGAAACTCCATCACCATTCCCCCCCAGTTAGCATAGCCAATAGTTAAGTTGTTGCTGTAGTTATGATACGAGGGTTGAATGAAAGGTAATGCCTCCACCTTTGTAACTCCTCAACAGGTGGCAGTACTGGTATGTGGCAGGTACTAGCTTGTTCAGTAGACTCTCCTTTACAGTTCCATTTTGGCAGGAAGCCTTAGCATTGAATGGTTGTGTTGTTAAAGTGCGAAATATGGAACCCTGCAGACAATCGGTCAATGCGACTTAAGCAACGTGCAGTCATTGAATTCTTGACAGCAGAAGGTGTCACCCCAAAGGAGATTCATCAGAGAATGCAAGCTGTTTATGGTGATTGTGTTGATGTGAATACTGTGCATCGTTGGGCGAGTAAGTTTAAAGATGTTGAGGTGGGAACATCTGACTTGCATGACAAACAAAGAGTTGGACGTCCTGTGACAGCAACCACCGAGTTTCACAAGCAAAAGGTTGACAGATTGATTCAGGACGATCGTTGTATCACTCAGAGAGAAATTTCAAGCATAATTGGCATTTCACAAGAACAGTGGGTCACATTATTGCTTTGCTTGGCTATCAGAAGATCTGTGCACAATGGGTACCCAGGATGCTAATGCCTGAAATGAAAGCGGACAGACTTCAAACTTCAGAGACTGGATCTCATCACCGTACGACATCCTCCATACAGTCCAGATTTAGCACCGTCTGACTTCCATCTGTTCCCGATAATGAAAGAAGATCTGTGGGGACATCATTATGCTCCTGATGAAGACGTTGAGAGAACTGTGAGACGCTGGTTGCGGAAACAGTGTCAACTTTTTCCGTGACGGCTTCAGAAAACTTGTTCAACGTTGGCAGAGACGTATCCAATTGTCTGGTGATTTTGTGGAAGAGTGAATAGTGGTAGTCAGGCCCGTAGCCACGATTTTGATTCGGAGGAGGGGAGGGGCTGAGCTTGATTCGGGGGGGGCTGAGTCTGAGTGAAAGAGGGTCTACCTAGCAAACCTTTTGTATCGTTACCCTAATACCCCCATGCATATGGGATATATTGAGCATGGTGATCAGATCATGATATGAATAAACATAACAGTTTAAATAATGTACCAGTAAGGCCTTCTCGTGGACCACCATGAGAATTTTGGGGGGGGGGCTGAATCCCCCCAAAGCTCCCCACCACCCCCCCGGCTACATGCCTGGTGGTAGTTAAAGAGCACATTCTAAGGATTATTTCTATGTTTGATTTATTTAAATATTCCCATCCAAACCCAAGTAACGCAGGTGGAGGCATTACTTTTCATTCAGCCCTCATACATAAAGGCAGTTTGGGAGATCCAATAGTCCTCCAAATGTTATTGGTCTCTGTTTCCTGTCATTCCTGAACATTGGTTATAATTGCCAGGACAGAGAGGAGGTACACCTCACCTTCGGTCTTGAGAAAGACAGGATAGAAATATCGTAAATCAATCAATCAATCAATCAATCAATCAATCAATAAACATCCGAAGGGCCACCTCTGTAGTAGAGGCTGGGAGATCAAGATGTCAAACTAGATTCGTTATAATAGCAACAGGTTGTTGTCCTTTGGAGTGGCATGGCATTCACTTTCTCCCCATTTTCTGTCATTCTGTTCTGAAATGCAGCTCCTTTCCAGAACTTCACGGTCCTTAAGTACAGTCCAGTTAATACACACCGCATGCGGATTGCAGGCCTCCTTCATTACCAATATCGTTTTAATGAAAGGCCAGGGGAAGGTAAGGGACTTGGCTGTTTTCCTTTGTGCAACAAAGCTGGGACTCTCTCAAATGGGTTCACTCATATGGGGAGTAAATAATATTGCATTTGCTGGGACTTACCTATACTTTCCCATTAGGGCCTTGGCTTCAGCATTGTGGGAGGTCAAGACAGCATTTATGGCCCCATTGGGATATATGTGAAGACAATCTTTCCTCAGGGGGCCGCTGCTGCCGATGGAAGGCTGCAAGAAGGTAGGAAAACCTGGATTCGGCATCGATAATGTAAGTTGTTGAGAGTTTAGACTGTAGAAAAGTCTGTTCAGGGAAGAGCCTTCAAGTACAACAGACCCGATTGAGTTGCACATCAATAGTACTTTGATTCCACTCAGGGCTGTAGCCAGAAAAAGATTTCAGGAGGGGTTGAAATTTTTTTGGGGGGGGGTTGAAAATTTCAGGGGGGGGGGGTTGAAACCTGCCTCCTAGCTCACGCTGAAGCAAAGAGCACAGCAGGGGGCAGAGCAGCCTTCAATAGCCTGCAGCTCCCCCCCTGTCAACCACCTCCACCAAGTCTGGCCTCCTTAATGAGAGCATTCAACACCCCCCCCCCCCAACTTGGTTGCTTCACTACATCGGCTATTGCTGCAAATTGGGCCTGTAAAGAACTGTCTTTAGACAGCGGGAAGCCAGGGGCCTAAAGAGAAGTTCTCAGAGGTTTCCACCACAAATAGTCTTTAGATGGCTTGAGAAGTACAACAAAGTCTTTTATTAATGAACAATCAAACAGAAACTTCTCTTGTCTTCAGAAAGTTAAACAAATGCTTCCAAGCTTTGTGCAACTGGTGGCTTCCTAAACTTGCCCACGAAGGACAGGCAACTGTCTTCAATAACTTCTTCTTTACTTTAAAGGAAAATCCCTTTTAACTTCTCCCAGGCTGACTGTAATCTAACCCTTACTGATGTGGGCTCCGCTACCGGGTCAAACTGCGTCTCGAACGCCGAGTGGACCTACCAGCAAGGCAGTAGATGTTCTCCAGCTGGAGTTCTTTGGTCTTTAGGGCTGTTTTCCTGGAAATTCTTTGGAGACTCTGAAGACCTTTCCCCCCCGGAAGGTCTTAAGGGTTGAAGCTTTTGTACAGGGGAAGCTTGCACACATCCTATACATAAGCTTTCCTTGCTGAGACTAACTAAAAATGGCTCCCTTCCCTTCCCAATTGCCCTGAGCAAGGGGCGGGACCAAAACTTAACAATGATGGACAGGTGACTTGCCCTATGACTGCAACCAAAGAGCCACCTATCTGCAGAGTCCCTGAAACCTAGGACTGCAAGCAAACATTTAATACAAAGCAAATAAAGTTGGAGCTCCTGGTACAGCTGTACCAGAACAACTACATCGGCTATTGCTGCAAGTAATGACAGTGTGAATAAATTGCTAATATTTGCTTGAGATAGTGCTTGCAGTTCTGGAGGGACTCTTGATTTTTTGCATCTCATAGACTTAGCAGGGGGATTTGGTTAACCAGTTAAAATTCATGAGTAAACCAGGTTTTTAAAAAAATCTGAAACATTTCGGGGGGGTTGAACCCCTACCCCCCCCCCCCCCCCTCGCTACGGGCCTGATTCCACTTTAATGATTGTGACTGTGTCTTAGGGAATCCTGGGATTTGTTGCTGGTGAAGCACTCAGGTTAGCCAAATGTGAAAGGCCCCTTATTTAATACTGAAGACATATTAAATATCCTGGGAGGCTTCATGTATGTGTATTCCATCCCACTGGGCATGGTTCACATGAGCAGATACTGAAACAAGAAGCTCAGCATAACTGAGCAGCAAGATGATTTCCTTATGAAAATAACTTGCGGAAATGGATAAACTTACTATGTTGATTAATGAGAACTTTCTAGCGAACTTTAAGAAGGACTGGGGCCCATTCGTTGTATTCCTCCAGCAAAGATGTGGTAAGGTAAAGGTAAAGGTTTTCCCCTGACATTAAGTCTAGTCGTGTCTGACTCTGGGGGTTGGTGCTCATCTCCATTTCTAAGCCGAAGAGCTGGAAAATGAAAAGAAAAAGGAAGAGGGGCCAACCAAGGGCAAGATGGATGGATGGCATCCTTGAAGTGACTGGCTTGACCTTGAAGGAGCTGGGGGTGATGATGGCTGACAGGAAGCTCTGGTGTGGGCTGGTCCACAAAGAGTTGGAAGTGACTGAATAAATGAACAACAACAGAAGTTTCCCCTGACATTAAGCCGAAGAGCCGGCGTTGTCCATAGCCACCTCCAAGGTCATGTGGCCATCATGACTGCAAGGAGCACCGTTACGTTCCCACTGGAGCGGTACCTATTGATCTACTCACATTTGCATGTTTTTGAACTGCTAGGTTGGCAGAAGCTGGGGCTAACAATGGGAGCTCACCCCATTCCACGCATTTTAACTGCTGATCTTCTGGTCAGCAAATTCTGCAGCTAAGCAGTTTAACCCACTGTGCCACAGCAGCCCCTTTTAGAATTAGAAGAGTATTATTATGTGGGGAAAGGATGTATCAATGGTTCTTTAAGATGTTGAAAACTGAGAGAATATAACCACCAGACAGAGAATGTAAAGCCCTTAGATTAGATCAGCATTTCTCAACCTGGGGGTCGGGACCCCTGAGGGAGTCACCAGGTGGTTTCAGAGGGGACCATCAGAAAACCATCAGAAAACACCGTGGGAACTTTGGCCCAATTTTATTGTTGGTGGGGTTCAGAATGCTCTTTGGTTGTAAGTGAACTATAAATCCCAACAACTACAACTCCCAAATGTCAAGGCCTATTTTCCCCAAAACCCACTAGCGTTCACATTTGGGCATATTGAGTACTCATGCTAAGTTTGCTCCAGATCCATCCACAGTGCTCTCTGGATGTAGGTGAACTACAACTCCAAAACTCAAGGTCAACACCCACTAGACCCTTCCAGTATTTTCTGTTGGTCGTGGGAGTTCTGTGTGCCAAGTTTGGTTCAATTCCATCTTTGGTGGAGTTCAGAATGCTCTTTGATTGTAGGTGAACTATAAATCCCAGCAACTACAACTCCCAAATGACAGAATTAATCCCTCTTCCCAACCCCACCAGTATTCAAATGTGGGCGTATGGGGTATTTGTGCCCAATTTGGTCCAGTGAATGAAAATACATCCTGCATATCAGATATTTATATTATGATTCATAACAGTATCAAAATTACAGTTGTAAAGTAGCAATGAAAATAATTTTATGTTGTGGGGCCACCACAACATGAGGGACTGTATTAAGGGGTCGCGGCATTAGGACGGTTGAGAAACATTGGATTAGATAATGTAGATTGTATATAAATGTTTTTTTAAAAAACTCTATAAAAAGTATTTTTAACTTTTTGTTTGTTTGTACGTTTGTGTGTAGGTTTTGAATAACTGAGTGATTTATTTATTCTGATTTATAGGGGATGAAATCCTGGAGCTGAATGGAGAATTGATGTATGGACTCACCCATTATGAAGCTCTGCAGAAATTCAAGGTCATGTGATAGAGTCATAGGATCTTGCCCTTATGCCGCATCCCTCTCTTTATATGCATCGCTCACATGGCCCTCACAGACCTTATGTGACCCACAGTCACCTTGTGTGACTGTGGAGCAGAACAGACAACTCCGCATCTGTATGCTTGCCTACTACGCCCTGCCTGGTGTACAGAAGAAGAATTGTTGGAGGCAATGACAATGTAGTTGCTGTTGGCCATTTTTGGTGAAAAATTATTTAGCCACTTTTGCACCTTCTATTTTTATCAGGAGCACCTTGCGACTCAGCAGGTTAAATCGCTGAGCTGCTGAACTCGCTGACCAAAAGGTCGGCGGTTCGAATCTGAGCTCCTGCCGTTAGCCCCAGCTTCTTCCAACCTAGCAGTTCGAAAACATGGCCAAATAATACTTTTTTCTTCTGCAGTCACTCTCAAAATGGCATATGTACATCTCTTGTCGGAGTCCCCAGTGGCGCAGTGGGTTAAACCACTGAGCTGCTGAGCTTGTTGACTAAACGGTTGCAGATTCAAAACCGGGGAGCTTTGTGAGCTTCCGCTGTCAGTCCCAGCTTCTGCCAACCTAGCAGTTCGAAAACATGCAAATGTGAGTAGATCAATAGGTACCGCTCCAGCAGGAAGGTAACAGCGCTCCATGCAGTCATGCCGGTCACATGACCTTGGAGGTGTCTACAGACAACGCCGGCTCTTTGGCTTAGAAATGGAGATGAGGACCACACCCCAGAGTCAGACATGACTGGACTTCATGTCATGGGAAAACCTTTACCTTTACTATCCATACATAGAAACATACAATCTTCAAAATTCAGCAGTCAAAATACAAGTATTTTCCCCCAATGCACCTTCCCCACACCCAGGAACAGTTTACTACTCTTGCTATACTTATTACAATTGTTCAATCATGAGGATAGTCTTATTTAACTCCTTATATCTATCTTTCCCCTTTATTCTGGAAATGAGACCCTTCCATTTTGCCTCCCAGGTCCTTCTGATTTGGCCCGTCTTATAATAACTTTTCCTTTCACTAATATAATATTGGAGTAGGTAGTCAGCTAGATATTTATACCAAGCAAATGTGAGTAGATCAATAGATACCACTAAGGTGGGAAGGTAATGGCGCTCAATGCAGTCATACTGGCCACATGACCTTGGAGGTGTCTATGGACAACGCCGGCTCTTCGGCTTAGAAATGGAGATGAGCACCACCCCCAGAGTCGGACACACTAGACTTAACATCAGGGGAAACCTTTACCTTTACCTATAGACACCAGTATGATCCGAAGGATATACAGACACTTTATGTTAATGTATACGTTTCAATGCCGCTTTGTATAGACAGTACACAGACAAACAGAACAGAAGGAGGTGATTTGTTTCAGCTGTTTTTGGTGCCATGGAAGGTTGGGCTCGAGTTCAGTGGGTGCTGGTGCTCTATCTTCTATGACGAAGAGCCGTCAGGACTTCCTCCTTCCTTTTGGTCACCCAGCATTTTCTGATCATCTTTCTTTTATGGCGTCGTAAAACACCTCCCCTGCTTTTAGTGGTACCTAATTTCTCTAATCAGAGCTAAAGCTGTTTTCGAATTGCTTAGGTAAACAGTGAGCTAGGTTGACAGTTGGCAGCTCACGCCAACCTGGGGCTTCGAACTTGCAACCTTTTTGGTTGATAGATCTTATAATAGCTGATGATTTACCAGCTGTGCTAAATCTTTATGTTTACCAACGTAGCTGCTTATGCTCCTTCTATTTTTATCTTCAGAAGGAGCTTGAAAACATGGATGTTCCAGTGTGCCTTCCCAGATTAAGGAATCCCAAGCAATATGTCCCAAATGCACTTTACGAGAGAGTTAGAAGTGTCTGCACACCCACTTACCCCCCAAAATATCCATCCTTTTTCACCTGGTCATGCCCAGCATTTTTTTTTAAAAAAATCTTTACATTTGGCCCTGCCAGGTTTTTAAATTGCGTCGTGATATTTTGTTATTGTTTTTGCTTTGCTATGAGTTATTTATTGTTGTATTGTATTGTTGTGGTTGTGTTTTTTGTTCTGATGTATTTTGGGCTCGGCCTCTTGTAACGATCCTGCGGGGGATGGTAGCGGGGTATAAATAAAGGATTATTATTATTATTATTATTATTATTATTATTATTATTATCAGTTTTATACTAATTTATGCAATGCTTTTGATACGAAATAAATAACATGGCCCTGAGCTGCAACTGCACCCATCTCATGATGATTTCGTGTCTCTAACAGGCCAAGAAAGGTCTTCTTACCCTCACCGTCCGAACGAGCTTCGGCACCCCACACTTATCATCCCATTTCTGCAATTCACCAAGCACCGGGTTATGCGTAGCCAAGGGGGACAGCTCCGTTGGTGGGAAAACGGCTCCATTCCTCTTGGGTGCCCCGAACCCCAATGACCGGATCATTGTGGAAGTTTTCTTAAAGAAAGGTACACATTCAAAGTAACCCAGGAACAGAACAAAACCAAAACACAAAGTGAAATAGTGCATGACTTTGGAAATATAAATGAAATGCACAGCTATAGGATGAGTGACCCCTGACTTGGAAGCGGTCCATGCGAAAGGGATATAGGAGTCTTGGAAACTTTTCTGATGGCAGTAATGGGGTTTTGAAGTCCAAAACACCTGGAGGGCCCAAGTTTGCCCATGCCCACCCTAGACAAACTCAAAGGTGTTATGTGTGTGTGGGGGGGGGGGAGGGGGGGGATCAACATATTTATATTTTTACTTAATACTGATTTTTCTTAATCATTTAATGGCTTTTTCTGTTTTATACTGTTTTGTGTTTTATGTTTTTGTTTTTTCCAGAGGCTGGTGTGGGCTTAGGCATTGGATTGTGCAGTATCCCTTATTTCCAGTGTATTTCAGGAATCTTCATCCATGCCCTTTCTCCTGGCTCTGTGGCTCATATGGATGGAAGGCTCAGGTATGTTCAGCAGAATCATAAAATCATAAGAGTTGGAACAGACCATCCTCTGCCTTACTGGAAGACCTAAACAAAGCACTCATAGAATCCTAGAGTTGGAAGAGACCTCATGGGCCATCCAGTCCAACCCCATTCTGCCAAGAAGCAGGAATGTTGCATTCAAATCACCCCTGACAGATGGCCATCCAGCCTCTGTTTAAAAGTTTCCAAAGAAGGAGCCTCCACCACACTCCGGGGCAGAGAGTTCCACTGCTGAACAGCTCTCACAGTCAGGAAGTTCTTCCTCATGTTCAGGTGGAATCTCCTCTCCTGTAGTTTTGAAATCATGGAGGAATTTAAAAGGGTCTGGCCCTGAAAGAGAGACCCTGCGGACCCACCAAAGAGGGCTCGCTACAGTGGTGAGCAAAGAGAAGCCCAATTTAAACGGTTTTTCCTAGGTTCCCAAAAAGAATCTCACCAAAGTTGAAGGAAGCGTCACCGAGATGATTTTATTGTGATTCAGCTGAAAAGGATGCAAAGCAGCAATATTTAGCCAAGCTAAGCATACAGTGTACAAAAATAAAGGCCTTTTTATACATAAAACAGAGTTGCCAGGTTTGAATCTCCCATTCCCCACCCCTCTGCTGGTTCAGCGATGATTGGCTGGCGCTCTTCAGCTGGGAGGAGGCTTGGCCTCCTCCTGAGTGCCTGGGCCAGTTGCTGGGCTTCTGCCGCCTCGGAGTCCTGACAAATCAGGAGAGAGGGAGGCGGGATGAGAGGGAAACAATGGATTCTTGAGAGGATCATGGAAGTAGGAAATGTCCAAGCGGCTAGCGGGTCCTGGGGGGGGGGGTAAATAAATAAATTTGCTATTGTCTTTGAGTGGCTGCAATAAACGTTGATGGCTGGCAAACCTGCCATAATCCGGATTTTTCCAGTGCTGAGAGACAGGAACAATGAGGGAATTTTGGCTGTGGTTTCAGTGGATAAAAGTTGAATCAGTAACAGATTAGGACAAGGTGTGGCTTTCCGAAGGCTTCCTTTGTCCTATTGAGATATGATCATAAATGCCAAGTGACCACTTCCTCTGGGGGACCAACTCCGAGGCCAGAGGTCATGATCCTTTGTTATTGTCCATGCAAATAGTGTCTTTTGATAAGGGTCTTTTCCAACTGAGGATTTCCTCCTTTCCAGGGTCACAGGGGTGGCTTCTTATATTTTTATACATTTTTTCAATAAAGGGGAATTGGGCAAAAGGGTCAGGAAAAGGTCAGGTACACAGGGAGAAATATAGAAATATAGAAATCATGATATAGAAAACATACCCACTTATCCATCCCACCAGAGTCCCATAGAAGTTCAAGAAAGCACATAGGTGTAAAGGGAGGGGGTTTCTCAGTAATAAATGTGTTACCTTCTGCTATATATGAAACATAGGGCATAAAACCTTGATTAAATATACACACTATCTAACATGGGAAGGGTCCTTGTTGTTAGTGTCTTGGCAAATTGACCAAGGCTTAACCCTTATTATCCAGTCTGGTGTCCTTGTCCTTAGCAAAACTATAAGTTACTATATTTTATTGGGGGAGGGTCATGTTCGACTTCATTTTGAAGCCATTGTTTCACATCCTCGCCTCCAGGACAGCAGAAAACAAGCTTCCTCCCTCTTCCCCATGACTTCCTCTCACATACTAATACATGGCTATCATGTCTCCTGGGTATGAAACAAACAAACAAACAAACAATCAAATGCTGAAAAACATGATTTATTTTTCTGCCTTTCAATATCATGCAGCGCTCCAATAATTGTTGTGTTCTTTTCCGAAGGGTTGGAGACGAAATCATTGAAATCAATGAAGCATCCATTCAAAACATGACCCTCAATGAGGTCCATGCCCTCCTAAGCCACTGCAGCCCTGGCTCCGTGCAGGTGATAGTCAGTAGGCATCCAGATCCACAGGTAAATTGACTGTCATGTGAAGCTTCTGAGTTTTGCAAGGCAGGTAACAGATTGTTGTTGTTGTTTTGAGAAGCTAGAGCATCAGGACTGTATAATAATACCTCAGACAGAAGAGGACACTGTTGATCAGGAGGAGTACCTTTCCAAAGTATATCCTCCAACTTTCCATTTTGATAAGGATTGTCCCAGTTAAATTTTTTGGTCCTTTTTTTTCCCAATTGTTTTTAAAATGTCCCTGTTTTTCCTCCCACTTTCCCCCTAAGTTTACCTCATTTGCTGCAAAATGAGTTCTATAATAGAAAGGTAATTTGCATTCAATTCACTCAGCCAAGAAGAAGAAAAGAGGAAGAGGCCAAAAACCAGTACTTTCTAGTGTAGTCTCAGTTCCCATCTACACTGCCATATAATCCAGTTCCTGAATCCAGATTATCAACTTTAATCTGGATTATATGGCAGTGTAGACCCATATAATCCAGTTCAAAGCAGGTAAACTAGATACAAAAATTGGGATATATGGATCCAGCCTCAGACAAAAGCAAGTTTATTATTATTATTATTATTATTATTATTATTATTATTATTATTATTTGAAACACAACAAGATGAGTCCACAAGATCACTCTGCTGGCTGTTGAATTGGATCACACGTCGGACACTTCCCAAGTGTCTAGGACTGTGTGATGTATCGGTGAATAATGCATGCAGATCCCAGTAAGGTGGCCTTTTGCAGCTGGCAGATGGTAATTTTGTCAGCGCCAATTGTGTTTAAGTGCAGGCCAAGGTCTTTACGCACTGCACCCAGTGTGCCGATCACCACTGGGACCACCTTGACTGGCTTTCGCTATGCAGTTCGATATTTAAATCCTCATATCGTATCAGCTTTTCCTGTTGTTTCTCTGCAAACCTGCTGTCACCTGGGATTGCGACATCAGCAATCCATACTTTGTTTTTTAACACGATTGTGAAGTCAGGAGTGTTGTGCTCTAGAACTCTGTCTGTCTGAATCCGGAAATCCCAGAGGAGTTTGGCGTGTTCATTCTCTGTAACTTTTTTCCAGCTTGTGATCCCACCAGTTCTTTGTTGCAGGCAGATGGTATTATTATTATTATTATTATTATTATTATTATCTATATTTGTATACCACCCTTCTCAGGCGACTCAGGATGGTTTACAATGGCAACGATTCAATGCCCCAAAACACCATAAAACATTCAAAAACATTAACACACAATATAAAACCATAACAAGAATACTAAAAGCAAACATCATTTGCGACTCCTAATAAAAACATTGTCCTACTAGCTCGTGGAAGCTTTCTCAATTGTATCTTTTGCCATCAGATTCTTTTTTTAGAAAGATTACAAATAATTAGTATTAACTCTAAGACGGCAACAAAGTCCCAAGTGGGAACTTTAATGAGAATACTCAAACTTGTGATCTTCAAGAGACCACTTTTTGGAACCAGTTCACTCTTTAAACGAATACCTGTGACACTTTGCAGGTCTCTGATCATCAGCTGAAGATGGCTGTTTTGCAAGCTGTAGAAAACAACAAGTTAGAAAGAGAGAGGTACCAGTGGAGTACTGAAGGTAAGGAAAATATGTCCCATTATTTAAGTTTCTTTTTTTTAAGCATCTAACTGGATGAGACTAAGGACTTAAAATACACAAAGAATGTCCTACCCTACGCTTGAAACCAACCTAATGCGATGAACACAGCGGCTTTCCACATTTTAAGTATAGCACTCAGTGGAATTTCGTAAATGTGATGAAGTGGTAACTAATAGGCATGGATTGAGTTGCATCGGATAACTCATTGCTCATAATAATTTTGTTAAAATTACCTTTTTGAAGCGATATCGAAGCTTTTTAAAAAAACAGAAGTCCCTTTGCCCTTCCGAAGCTTTTTCCATCATTTTTGTTATGGCTCAGGAATTGAGTCGGAAATTTTTCAGCTTTTCCCTGCTTCTGGTCCCTGGCCTCGGCTCAAGCCAGAGAAGCCAGTTTTAAGCCAAAGAAGGAAGGAATTTCCTCCGCTTGCTTTTCCCCGCTTCTGGTCCCTGGCCTCGGCTCAAGTCAGAGAAGCCAGTTTTAAGCCAAAGAAGGAAGGAATTTCCTCCGCTCGCTTTTCCCCGCTTCTGGTCCCTGGCCTCGGCTCAAGTCAGAGAAGGAAGGGATTTCCTGGCTTCGGCTCAAGCCAGAGAAGCCAATTTTAAAGCCAGAGAAGCCAGTTTTAAACCAGAGACAGAAGGAATTTCCTGGCTTCGGCTCAAGCCAGAGAAGCCAGTTTTAAACCAAAGAAGGAAGGAATTTCCTCCACTTGCTTTTCCCTGCTTCTGGAGTAAAACAACTACTTTCAAAATAAAGACCACTCAATGAATAAGACTTTCAAACCATTAAAAGTCTCGGAAGTTTCTAAAAGTTTTGAATTTTTTTTTCTGTGAAAATCAGAATTGACTTTAGATCCGAACCACCAGTGCCCCCTACATCCGAAACGCGTTTTGAACCATTTTTTAAATCAACCAAGCCTAGTAACTAACTGTGTCATTCAAAATTCTGTTTTCTGCCTCAACCAGCCCAATGTTGCTGGAAATCTTGTAAACAGGACCTACAGGCATTTTGGGTTGAATTTTTCAGATTGTCTGCCGTTATTTGCTCAATCTTATGGGTTCTCCCAATCTAATCTGTCCAAATGGATTCTCCCCTATGAACCATCAAAGTTGTTAAGATCTTCTGGAGGGGCCCTGCTCTCGGTCCCACCTCCTTCGCAATCGCGTCTGGTGGGGACGAGGGACAGGGCCTTCTCGGTGGTGGCCCCTCGGCTCTGGAACTCTCTCCCGTTGGAGATTAGATCTGCCCCTTCCCTCCTGACTTTCAGAAAGCTGGTAAAATATTGGCTTTGGGATATAGCATTTGCAGAATGATGATTGAGTCAATAACGGCTGACCACACTGGCGGATGGTGATGAATTTGTGATTCTACTTTGACGACCTGGCTTTTGTAATTGTATGATCTGTATTTTAATGTATTTTTGTATTAATGTATTATGATGCTATTATGTTTATTCTATGTGTGTATGAATTTTCTGCTGTTGCCGGCCTGAGTCCCTCTTCGGAGGTCGAGAAGACCGGGTTATAAAAGCTCTAAATAAAATAAATAAATAATCAAAAGTAGTGAACAAATTATGAGTTGCATAACAAGCTACCTAAAATTATTGGTGGCAACTTTGCTTCCTTTTCCTCCCAATATCTTCTTCTTGTTTTAAAAACAGGTGTCAAAAGTCTGGAGAACAGTTGGCATAAGAAACCTCCCTGTGAAAAATACTCTGAGAAGCATGCTCTTCGTGGCAATCATCACTCCCAAAAGATTATGATCCGCTCCAGCAGTGACAGCAGTTGCAAGCCCAGGTCATCTGGGGGAAATGGTCTTGCTGACCAGCTGACCGATTTGAAACCAAAAGGACATAGCATTGACATACCGGTCATCAGGCAATCCGGCTCGTTGTTCTCTTCTTCCAGATCTAGTCTGGAGAACGACTCATCCCCGCCAGGACTTAAGGACGCCACTCACCTCTTGCGAAACAACACAAAGAAATCCACGGAGATCCTGGTTCGAAAACCTAGGTCGTCCAAACCCAAACCCCCACCAAGGAAGTACTTCAAACAAGACAGTGCTCTCAATGAGCAGATTAGTAGAGAAGTGAAAGACAAGACCGGCCTGCAAGGGGATGGGAACCTAACTTCTCCAAATACTCAGGCAAGACAGATATGTTCACGGTAGTGCTCTCTTCAGTGGATGGCATGGACTTTGGTGCAACAGGGTGTTAGGAAAATATTTACAAAACAGAAGAACGCCTAGCTCACGGCAAGCGGAAAGCAACAGTCTGCCTGACTTGAGATGCAGAGTTTTATCTTTAAGAGTTTCAAAAACGTATTAAAACATAAGAATTACATTTCTTGATAGAAAATGATTGGGTCTAAGATTTCTAACTAACTCAATTACTTTTAAGTTCAACCAAAAGGATAAATAACGTATATACTCAAGTATAAGCCAAGATTTCAGCCCCTTTTTTAGGCTGAAAAAGCCCCCCTTGGCTTATACTTGAGTCAAAGTTATTTATATTTTACTCTATTATTATTATTATTATTATTATTATTATTATTATTACATTTATTATTTTACTGTATTTATTATTATTATTACATTTACATTATTTCATTCTATTATTATTTTATTACATTTATTATTTTACTCTATGATTATTATTACATTTACATCCTTATACTCTATTATTATTTTACTCTTATTATTTTACATTATTTTATACTATTATTATTTTATTACATTTATTACTTTACTATTACTGTTATTATTTCATTTACATTCTTTATTATTATTTTCATTACATTTAAAATTTACTCTATTTATTATTGTTATTATTACATTTGCATTATTTTACTCTATTATTATTTTTATTACATTTATTATTTTACTCTATTTATTGTTATTATTACATTTATATTCTTTTAGTCTATTATCATAATATTTATTGTTTTATTATTTTACTCTTATTATTGTTATTATATTTACATTCTTTGCTCTATTATTTTTATTACATTTATTATTTTATTCTATGTATTATTATTGCATTTATTATTTTACTCTATGATTATTATTACATTTACATTCTTTTACTCTATTATATTTATTATTTTACTCTTATTATTATTATTACATTTACATTCTTTTATTCTATTATTATTTTATTACATTTATTATTTTACTCTATTTATTGTTATTATTACATTTATATTCTTTTAGTCTATTATCATAATATTTATTGTTTTATTATTTTACTCTTATTATTGTTATTATATTTACATTCTTTGCTCTATTATTTTTATTACATTTATTATTTTATTCTATGTATTATTATTGCATTTATTATTTTACTCTATGATTATTATTACATTTACATTCTTTTACTCTATTATATTTATTATTTTACTCTTATTATTATTATTACATTTACATTCTTTTATTCTATTATTATTTTATTACATTTATTATTTTACTCTATTTATTGTTATTATTACATTTATATTCTTTTAGTCTATTATTATAATATTTATTGTTTTATTATTTTACTCTATTATTTTTATTTTTATTACATTTATTATTTTACTCTATGATTATTATTACATTTACATTCTTTTACTCTATTATTATTTTATTACATTTATTATTTTATTATTATGCTTACATTTTAGTCTATTATTTTCATATTTATTTTATTAATTTACTCTATTATTATTGTTATTATATTTACATTCTTTACTCTATTATTATTTTTATTACATTTATTATTTTACTCTATAGATTGTTATTATTACATTTATATTCTTTTAGTCTATTATTATAATATTTATTGTTTTATTATTTTACTCTATTATTTTTATTTTTATTACATTTATTATTTTACTCTATGATTATTATTACATTTACATTCTTTTACTCTATTATTATTTTATTACATTTATTATTTTACTCTATTTATTGTTATTATTACATTTATATTCTTTTAGTCTATTATTATAATATTTATTGTTTTATTATTTTACTCTATTATTTTTATTTTTATTACATTTATTATTTTACTCTATGATTATTATTACATTTACATTCTTTTACTCTATTATTATTTTATTACATTTATTATTTTATTATTATGCTTACATTTTAGTCTATTATTATCATATTTATTTTATTATTTTACTCTATTATTATTGTTATATTTACATTCTTTATTATTATTTTTATTACATTTATTATTTTATTCTAGGTATTATTATTATTATTATTATTATTATTATTATTATACTCTATTCTTGTTTTATTACATTTATTATTTTACTCTATTATTATTGGAAGGATACATAAGCACATTTACACTCAAGGTGATTTGAATAATGGTTTGATCAGAGTTGGGCAGTCTTATCTTAAATTACAATTTTATGTAAATATTCAAAAACAATTACCTGACTGATGCCTCAATTAATGAATTTTTTTATTTGTATCTATTTTTATTTTGAAATTTACCAGTAGCTGATGCATTTCCCACTCTCAGCTTACACTTGAGTCAGTATACGGCTTGTATTTGGGTTGGCTTATACTCGAGTATATACGGTATCTAAAGACAACATTCTCTCATTCATACATAATTGAGGATGCTTCACGTTTGCCATCTGAGCCTGAAGTATAAAGGTTGCTATCATCCAGAGGGTGCACTGAGGGAGTATACATTGTGGAAAAAGCGGGGTAATAATAATAATAATAATAATAATAATAATAATAATAATAATAATAATAGAGCATGGGAGAACAGAGGCTGGCAAATGATATCTTTGCTGTTCTGGCGAGTTTATCAAATGCTGCAATAGCAAGGCACCAGCCCAGCTCTCTAAAATGCAGCCTAAGTGGGTTCTGGCAAGCCATGCTGCATATGGGGAAGCAAGCTTTGATGCAGAGGATGCAGTTTTGTGTGGTTATGTTTTGTCACACTTGTGCTTCCTGTTTATTTTGCAGGAAGTAGAAGACCTGCTGTGGCAAAGAAACAAAACGGTTGTAACGTGCGGTGCCTTTGCAAGTTCTTCAGTACCGAGACCTACAGAACAGTCAAACGTCGGATCTGTAGACCAAGAAAAGAAGGCCCACAAAGGTATGTTTCGTTCTGTGCAATTGTGAGCTCATTCATGCTGAAAAGGCAGCAGTGGTGCTGAAATTTGAAGCTGAAATTTCGGTTTCAGGCAGCCAATGACTCAAAACAGGCAATTAGTGGATAGTACTGGTGGAAATTGAGGACAAATGTAGGATATATTCAACCTGGTTTGACATTTCTCATCCTGGAGGTCGAGACCTCTGGAGAGAGTTGCGAGGGGTTTTCAGAGGGGTTGCCAAAGACCATCAGGGAACATATATTTCTGATGGTCTTAGGAACCCCTTTGACAAAGAATCATAGAATCAAAGAGTTGGAAGAGGCCTCATGGGCCATCCAGTCCAACCCCCTGCCAAGAAGCAGGAATATTGCATTCAAATCACCCCTGACAGATGGCCATCCAGCCTCTGTTTAAAAGCTTCCAAAGAAGGAGCCTCCACCACACTCCGGGGCAGAAAGTTCCACTGCTGAATGGCTCTCACAGTCAGGAAGTTCTTCCTCATGTTCAGATGGAATCTCCTCTCTTGTAGTTTGAAGCCATTGTTCCGCGTCCTAGTCTCCAGGGAAGCAGAAAACAAGCTTGCTCCCTCCTCCCTGTGGCTTCCTCTCACATATTTATACATGGCCTTCATCATATCTCCTTCTCATCCTTCTCTTCTTCAGGCTAAACATGCCCAGCTCCTTAAGCCGCTCCTCATAGGGCTTGTTCTCTCTGCCTTTCCTTCTTTTCCTTTTTGGAAATGGACAGTGAATCCTCACACCGAAAACCTTCCTTTGTTGTGATCCGCTGGCCTTGCAACCAAGGGGAGGTCTGTTTCTTAGACTCCAAGCAAGGAGGGGAGAGCAGGCGTGCTCAGCACATAGCAGTGTGGTGCGCGTGTGCAGGCAAGGGAGAGTGTGTGAAGCTGGAAGGAGGTTCACACCAGCTAATCCCTTCAATGCATGGTGGTTCTGTGTGGGAAGATTGTCCCAGTTCTATCACTGGTGGAGTTCAGAATAGTCTTTGATTGTAGGTGAACTATAAATCCCAGTAGCGACAACTCCTAAATGTCAAGGTCCTTTTTCTCTAAACTCCGCCAGTGTTCACATTTAGGCACATTCACTATTTGTGCCAAGTTTGGTCCAGATTCAAGGTTAATGCACACCAAACCCTTCCAGTACAACTCCAAGACTCAACTCCAAGACTCAAGGTCAGTGCGCACTAAACCCTTCCAGTGTTTTCTATTGGTCATGGGAGTTCTGTGTACCAGGTTTGGTTCAATTCCATAATTGGTGGAGTTCAGAATACTCTTTGATTGTAGTTGAACTATAAATCCCAGTAATGACAATTCCCAAATGTCAAGGTCTATTTTCTCTAAACTCCGCCAGTGTTCAAATTTGGGCATATTGAGTATATGTGCCAAGTTTGGTCCAGATCCATCATTGTTTGAGTCCACAGTGCTCTCTGGATGTAGGTGAACTACAACTCCAAAACTCAAGTCAATGCCCACCAAACCCTTTCAGTATTTTCTGATAGTCATGGGAGTTCTGTGTGCCAAGTTTGGTTCAATTCCATCATTGGTGGAGTTCAGAATGCTCTTTGATTGTAGGTGAACTATAAATCCCAGCAACTACAACTCCCAAATGACAAAATCAATCCCCCTTCCCAACCCCACCAGTATTCAAATGTGGGTGTATGGGGTATTTGTGCCCAATTTGATCCAGTGAATGAAAATACATCCTTCATGTGAGATATTTACATTACCATTCATAACAGTAGCAAAATGACAATTATGAAATATCAACAAAAATAATGTTATGGTTGGGGGTCACCACAACATGAGAACTGGAAAGCCCTGGCCCTTGAGTGCTGTTCTGTCGCGCGCTGGGCCTGTAACAGCTGTACTTTTCTATAGGACGTATACTTTAAGCCCAGCGGGAAGCCAGGGGCGCCTCAAAGAGAGGTTCTCAGGGATTTTTCTGAAGTGATGGTCTTTGGAGTCTTTAATGATACAACAAAGTCTTTATTATGGAACAAACAACAAATCTTCAATGGTTCAAACAACACTTCAAGGCTTTCTTAGTCTAGTCCTCAATGGACTGGCACCTGACTTTGATTAACTGTACTTTCTCTGTAGGAAAAAACCCTATTTAACCTCTCCCAGGCTGTTTACTATCTATGCCTCATCGGTGTGGGTCCTACTACCGATTCCAAATGCGTCTGGGTATCGAGTAGACCTACCAGCCGAGGCTTGAAGATATTTCAGCTGGAGTTCGGTGGATTTGTAGTGCTGTCCTCCCTCAGAGAGTTCTTTGAAACTTCAGGGCTGTTTTCTCTCTGATTGCTGTGAGGCTGAGAGGCTGTGAGCTCTCAGCCAGAGCCTTGGGACCTTTCCCATGGAATTTCTGTTTCCCTAGATGTTCTTGAGAAAAAAGCATTTCTATGGGACGAGCTGGTCTACGTCCTATAGTTTAGCTTCCTTATGTGAGACTGCCCAAAAAATGGCTCCTTTCCCTCCCAGAGCCCTGAACAAGGGGCGGAACCAAAGCTTAATTATGATGGACAGGAGGCCTGCCCTATGACTGCAAACAGATAACAGAAAGAAAATAAAGTTGGAGCTCCTGGTACAGCCGTACAAGCACAACCACTGATTTATGAGATGCAGGATATTATGTGTCTGCTGTATGACAAATGTATTGAATTGATTGAAAATAAAATATACATATATAGCCACAGGGAGGAGAGAGCAAGCTTGTTTTCTGCTTCCCTGGAGACTAGGACGCGGAACAATGGCTTCAAACTACAAGAGAGGAGATTCCATCTGAACATGAGGAAGAACTTCCTGACTGTGAGAGCCGGTCAGCAGTGGAACTCTCTGCCCCGGAGTGTGGTGGAGGCTCCTTCTTTGGAAGCTTTTAAACAGAGGCTGGATGGCCATCTGTCAGGGGTGATTTGAATGCAATATTCCTGCTTCTTGGCAGGGGGTTGGACTGGATGATGGCCCAGGAGGTCTCTTCCAACTCTTTGATTCTATGATTCTATGATTCTATATTTTAAAAATCAGAAAACCAGCTGAGGAAATCACATGTAAAAGATGGCAAAGGATCGTTGTGGATCTATGGACAATGCCCAGGCCTACATTTTCCTAGCTACTTTGACCGCAGAAGTGTTTGGGGTGCATATGTTTGTATTGATTGAAATGTTGTCACCTTTTTCCTTATTTAGGAAAGACTGTCCCAACAGCCCAAAGGCCTGCACTCCGAAGACAGACAAAAATCGACTATAGCCTTGGGCTCACAACCGAAGACCCTTGGGTTAGAATTTCTGACTGCATCAAAAGCTTGTTTAATCCCAGTATGTCAGAAGATGGGCACGCCTTGTCCTTGCATCCCACCAATGACACAAATGGAGACCATCAAACATCCAGTTGCTCAAAAGCAGTCCTGCAAAGAACAAACGGAGATACAGTCAATTCAGAAGAACCGAGGTCATCAGATGAAGGGGATTTTGTGAAAAAGGGTCCTCCAGTTGCACCTAAACCGGCCTGGTTTCGTCAAAGCCTTAAAGGCTTGAAGAAAGGAAAGTCAGACATAACAGCTCCCAGAAATGCAACCGACCTCCATCAGAATGTGTCTGACAATGAGCTGGCTTCCGTTTCCAGGGGAACCCGTGTCTCTCCGAGAGGGTCATCCATAAAGCAAAGGATAAGCTCATTCGAAAGTTTGGGCACTCCTCAGTCTCAAGAGAAAGGAAACCAAAAACTTAGCCCCAAGCTTTCGATTCAGAAAGAAGCATCTCTTGGCAGAAAGGAGCCAAAATGTGCAGCAGCAGCTCATTTCGACCAAATTTCAGCCAACAACAGTGGTAACTGCCAGGGTTGTGAAAGCACCACAATTCAGATGTTTCTAGAGGCAAGCAGCATAGACTCATCTTGCAGTTCGAGAGAGGAATATGCCTCTACTCCGAAGGCAAGCAAAAGCACCCCCACTGAATGTTCTCTGGATGCGCTACAAATCACAGAACCCGTTTCACACATTCAAAAAGTGCCCAGCCAAAGAGCGCGCAGCTTTCCACTGACCTCGGCCCAGTCGCATGAGATGCTGAAAACCAGTGGGGAAAAATACAGCAAAATCGATTCCATAAGCAACCACTTCTCGTCGGCTTTAATGAAATCGCTGCATTCCTTTCCTCAGTTTTCACCGTGTCTTCGGAAAAATTTGCACGATGGGTTCCCAAAGTCCTGCTCAGAAGAAAGTGCTTCGAATGTCTCCCACACCAGTACGGGTTATTCTTCGGACACTGGCTTTTCTCTTAAGTAAGACAACAATGTTTTCAATTCTTAACAGATTGTGTCACGCTTTATCTCACAATTCAGCAGCAGATCAGTTGCACAACTTCAGCGCGTTCCAGTAGCTTCTTTCTGCACATTATTTTCAGTCAAGTGCTCCCACAAACTGCAGTCACTCTGGAATCTCACACTTGAGCACATGCCCGGCCATTGTCAGTTTTACTATTGTCTCCCCTCCCCCAATCTAGATGACACTACAAACTTACCACAGCACACGGTTATATCTTGTCTTAGCAGACAGGTTCTTTTAATCAATTACACAGAGCCTTCGGCAAACAGCATCACAGCACAAGGAGAGAGAGAATACACTGTACATGACTTCCTTATATAAAATTCTGTACATTTACACATAGCAATCACTGATTGGTTCCCAACTCATTAACTTAACTCAAACCCAGGATTACATCATTCACAATCACCTGGACTAGGCCAGAACACATTCCCCAAATGATTCCCTATATACAGTTAATGCATGACTCAGCATTTCCAATAGAAGCCTATTAGCAGTGCCTTGCTGGAAATCTGGCATTCCCACTAAGTTTAGATAGCAAAGGCAAAGGTTTTCCTCTGACATTAAGTCTAGTCGTGTCTGTTTCTGGGGTGGTGGTGTTGGTGATCATCTCCATTTCTATGCCAAAGAGCCAGCATTGTCCATAGACACCTCCAAGGTAATGTGGCCGGCATGACTGCATGGGGCACCATTATAATCAGTAAGCATCCAGATACACAGGTAAATTGACTGTGAATAGGAAGGCTTTGCTGGAAATCTGGCATCCCTACAAAGTTTAGATAGTAAAGGTAAAGGTTTCCCCTGACATTAAGTCTAGTCATGTCCAACTCTGAGGGATGGTGTGCATCTCCATTTCTAAGCCGAAGAGCCGGCATTGTCCAAAGACACCTCCTAGATCATGTGGCCAGCATGACTGCATGTAGCACTGTTATCTTCCTGCAGAAGCGGTACTTATTGGTTTACTCACAAATTAAATGTTTTCAAACTGCTAGGTTGGCAGCAGCTGAGGCTAACAGTGGGAGCTCACCCCGCTCAAACTGCCAACCTTTCTATCTGCAAGTTCAGCAGTTCAATGGTTTAACCCACTACGCCACCAAATTTCAATATCTCCCCAAATTTCAATCAAAATTTGTTGATAAAGTTTATTATTTATTTATTTATTTATTTACAGTATTTATATTCCGCCCTTCTCACCCCACAGGGGACTCAGGGCAGATTACAATGTACATATACATGGCAAACATTCAATGCCATAGACACACAACATATATAGACAGACACCCAGAGGCTATTTAACATTCCAGCTTCTGGCCACCAGGGGAGCTGTCGCTTCACCGTCCGTTTGTGTCACTGATGAAGTACTTCCTCATTCTTTGCATACTTCCTGGAAATTTTTATGGCATCGTAAATTAGCCTCCTCGCATAAGCGATACCTAACTTTTCTACTTGACAGATGCAACTGTCTTTCAGGCTGCAAAGGTTGACAGCAAGCTACACAAAGTTTGCCCAAAGTTGCAGTGGAAAAGGAAAGATTGAAGCCTGTTACAGTTTACTGTAATGCACCGTTCTGGATAAGTTTACAATGGCAATATTAAACATTTCTCATTTCCTCCTTTGGCTAGTCTCTCTGAGCTGAGGGATTATGGTGAGAGTTGGTCAGCTCGTGAAAAAGAAGTTGGAGAGCAATGCTGCAGTTCATCCCAGTCTTTGGACTTCTCAGGACAGTCTGTCATCTCCCTCCTTACTCCTGAAGAACTGGAAAAGCTGATCGAGGAGGTGAAGTCTTTAGATGAGACTACATTAAAGGTTTGTGCATTACTTTGTGTGAATGCACCTTTTTCGGCATCTTCTGTGTCCACTGGGCTTGAGCATGTGGTATTGTTGTTGTGTGCCTTCAAGTCATTTCTAATTTCTAGGAATCCAAAGTAATCTATCATAAGAGTTTCTTGGACTCAGGGCAGGTCACAGAACATACATATGCGGCAAACTTTCAATACTATTTTATACACAAACAAGACAGACAATTATACATAGATAGAGGTTGTGACGACATGAAAATTGTGTGTAGTTTGCATTTGATCAACCCACACACTGCCTTGCCAAAGGCATAAAATATACCATGCAGATGATCAATAAAGAACTAATAGTTTACTCCTTGTCATTCAGAACAACATATTTACAATCATGTGATCAGTTGCATCAACCGACTCACATAATGTCCTTTTAGGAGAAATTTAAAATTGTCTTTCTTTGTCCATGTGTAGAAACTCCTTCAGCAGCTCATGAAGCAAGAGCACACCCCAAACTCGATCTCTTTCTGCTCCTCTCTGCTTCTACACTCAAGCCTGATAAATGTAACAGTATCCAAAGTCCCAAGCTCAGCCATCTCCCCAGGCATAGCCCTACCAATCAGCTTCATGAATTTTACTTTACACTAGGTGTCCCCTGCCATGCATTGCTGTGGCCCAGTTTATGTATATGTGTTTTGTGTGTATATATATTTGTGTATATTTGTATATATGTGTGTTTGTGTATATATGTGTGTGTGTGTGTGTGATTTTACACATGCGTTGTAATGTATTGTTTTTTTTGGCTTTTTAAGTCTCTTCTGCTGTGTTTTTCAGTGTTTTTATGAGTGATGGACACTCATTGGCCTGATAGGTGTATTGTGTCCAAATTTGGCATCAATTCATCCAGTGTTTTTTCAGTTATGTTAATCCCACAAACTAACATTACATTTTTATTTATATAGATGAAATGTGTAAAAATATGTGTGCAACACGATGGGAAAATAATCAACGTCTCTCCCATACATCTCTTTATAATTATGTAATTATTATATGGTGTAGATTCATCATATATATTTACAAAGTGTGTGTGTGTGTATCTGTCTGTCTGTCTGTCTATCTATTTATCAGGTGTGGGCCAACTTGTGCCCTCCAGGTGTTTTGTGTGTGTATATATGAGTATATGTGTATATATGTGTGTTTGCATATATATATATATATATATATATATATATATATATATATATACACATACACAAACACACATACATACATATGTATATGTATATGTATGTGTGTGTGGTTTTGTGGATGCGTTGTAATATGTTCTTTGGGGTTTTTGGCTTTTTAAGTTCATTCTGCTGTGTTTTCAGTGTTTTTATGAGTGATGCTCACTCATTGGCCTGATAGGTGTATTGTGTCCAAATTTGGTGTCAATTCGCCAGTGGTTTTTGAGTTAAGTTAATTCCACAAACTAAATTACATTTTTATTTATATAGATTTGATACGCACACATTGACTGATTTCTTACATGCTGCAACAGAGGTATATATATCGGCTTTCCCCCAACTTTGGCATCTTGGAGGCCAAAGTTATTTTGGTAACAGTCGCATATTCTCTTGCTGCACCTGTTCAAACTTCCTGTTATGTGGCAGGCATCCTTTAAGCTTGTGGGACTTTCTCTTTAAAAAGAAAAAAAAAACGTTCTGAGTCATGGAAGACCCAAACAAAATCTGGGAACCCACACAACAGTTTTGCACTGGCTTTTCAGAGGGACAGATTTTGGTCGCAATCCCCACCATTAGAATTTTAGAGCTTGAAGGAGCTATGGGGGCCTTTTAGTCCATCCCCTTGCCATGCAAGAAGACACAATCACAACATTCCTGAGATATCCCCAGAATACCGTATATACTTGAGTATAAACTGACCCATATATAAGCTGAGACACCTAATTTTACCACAATAAAACTGGGAAAATGTATTTAATTGAGTATAAGCCAAGGGTTGGAAATTCAGCAGCTAGCAGTAGATATTTCTGAGTGGCAGGATTTGGACTAGATGGTCTTGGGATCCCATTCCAACACTATGATTATATCATTTAGCTATAAACATATGGCAAGCCCATGCTGTATTGTGTCTTTGGGTCTGATCAGTGAGAACATTTTTCTTCCTTTTTGCACAGCAACTCAATGAGATCCATGTTACTGTTCTGCACAAAGAAGAAGGTGCTGGCCTTGGGTTCAGCTTAGCTGGTGGAGTAGACCTAGAAAACAAAGACATTACTGTAAGTAACCTTATTCATTTTTAAGCTGATGTTGGGAGCATGCATTCTGAACGCTGTGTATGTTTTTGGGACTAATTTCAAAAGCCCTCTTCAAAATATCACTTTGGGCTTCTGGAAGGACTGGTCTGATCAGTCCCTTAGAGCTAACTTCAGTCCCCAATATATGTATTTTCTAAAAAATCAAAGCCATGTGTTGATTTAATAGTCTGATAAGTGTACATTTTAGAAAATTAATGGTTACAAACTAATTATTGTTTTAACAACAACGACAACAACACTTTATTTATAGACCACTCTATCTCCCCAAAGCGACTCAACATGTATAGCAAACATTCAGTGGTAAACATTCAGGCAAATTAACATCAAGACAAATGATATTAAACAATATAACAACTCCCTAACTCAAACATAACAAGAAAAATAAATAACCAACAGTAAAAACTTAAATAACCATTAAATAGCTTAATGACTGTTTGTTTGTTTATTCATTTATTTATTTACAGTATTTATATTCCGCCCTTCTCACCCCGAAGGGGACATCAGGGCAGATTACAATGTACATATACATGGCAACATTCAATGCCATAGACACACATATATAGACAGACACACAGAGGCTATTTAACATTCCAGCTTTTTCATGAGGGTATTCTGGCCACCAGGGGAGCTGTGGCTTCACCGTCCATTTTTGACACTGATGAAGTACTTCCTCATTCTTTGTATGCTTGCTGGAGATTTTTATGATGTCGTAAATTAGCCTCCCCACATAAGTGGTACCTAAACTTCCTACTTGGCAAATGCAACTGTCTTTCGGGATGCAAAGGTCATCAGCAAGCTACACAAATTGGTGGGAAGCTCACTCCAACCCTGGCTGGCTTCGAACTCATGACATTTTGGTCAGTAGTGATCTTATTGCAGCTGAGCCCCAGCCTGCTGTGCTACAATCCCGTGTGTATGTTATGACATTGCTTCATACACACAGAAGCCAGAAGTATAATTCTCCTCCTTTTGGCTTTTGCAAATCATAGCTGCAATTGAATCACTTCAGGTGGTTCCACATGTCCCACCCTTCTGTTGGGATGGATCAGGCATAGCAATATGTGCATCATTTAAAAACCACTCTGTTTACCTCTTTGTAGATGTTGAGTCACAAATCATCTGGCTGTCTGGAAGCACTTCAAAAGGAAAGACTTTTGAGTTGCAATAGCCATTGGTTTTCTTAAGTATAATTATGAAAACTTTTGATGGGTGTCACCGATGTACAGCTGAATTCATTCCCAGAAACTTTGGGGTTAGGTTACCATTAAAGGCTGGCTCTAGCTTCTGAGTTCTGGCAGCTGATAAGATCAGGATCCTTACCTTTGATAACTTTAAAAGGTAATGAGGCAATCCTTTCATGCCTACGTGTGAAGAAACTAAATTGTTTTTGTGTCGTCACACCCAGATCCTATAAAAATAAACTAAGATGTGCTTCTCTCTTTGTCTGGGCGGACCGCGGGGGTCTTTCTTTAGAAGCTTGAGATTTCCAGCAACTGAGGCTACTACAGGCTTTGAACATCAAAACAGAATATTTATTTCTCAAAGTCCTTGCAGACTTGGCACAGCTTGTTAAAGTTACAAACAAAACAGTCAATTGGTGAAACAATAGAGATGATCTTTCTTTCCTTTAGTTACTGAGATAACTTTTCCCCAAAAGGCAGAAGAAAATCCTGAGATCTTTTCACCCTAACCCTGAGCTGCTATGGTTTAGAAAAAAGCAGGTTTTCCCCCCTATCTATAGCTCAAGGTTAGCTTTGGAGATGAAGTAATGCTCAATATATAACTCAATACCTATCCTATCTATCTATCTATCTATCTATCTATCTATCTATCTATCTATTTCTATAGTACTCAATAGCTTCTCTATCTAAATAACTCAATCTATAGCATCTCAATCTTCCTGCCTAGTTCTCAATCACTAAATTTACCTTTCTATCTATTTCTCAATCTCAATCTATATCTATGTCTCAATTGTTCTTATAATGGTTTTTTCAGAGTTACCTGCCTGACCAACAGCACATCTGAAGCTTTCTTTCCTACTGAAGGAGGCAGGGGAGATTTCCAAAATGGAGATCTCAACCCAGGAAAAAGGGCGGTCCTAAACCCAAAGAGATACTTTCTGAACCAATAGCTGCAAAAGGGGCCTGCAGGCTGGCTTTCTAGCCTCTAACGCTGTTAACTTTCAGAATGCAGCTGAGATTGTAGCAACCTTGGGGAAATGCAAAGGAACACTATCCCATGCAACTAAAAGGTAATGCAAACTATGCTCCTGGAAGACGGAACAGTTTTTGTATCAACCGAATGTCATGTAGGATAATGTTTTGTTGTTCCCAGCCTGGGCCAATGACCAAGTGAAAGCTGTCTGTTGCCTTCGCATTAGCTTTACGCTCAAACCAATTTTCCGTCTTCCTTTCACTCATATAATCAGATGTGGGAGGCCATTCCTTAATAGCTGCCCATTTATCTTTCTTAACTAGTGCAAATGAGAATCTGTGAAGCACTTGTGTAGATCTTTCTCTCCATTCCTTCCCACGAATCCTTTTCCAACCATCCAAGCTCTACCTGGCTTAGGTGAGCTTCTTGAGAACTTTCCTATCTTAGAATGGATTTCCTATTATAAAGCTTAGTTTATTTTCTCTAAGCCATTGCTCCTTAAAACAAGATCTCTAACCCAACGAACCACTGAATGCTTTCTAACAGATCTCACCTAAAGAAACATAAAATGTATATAGGGGAGGGACGATGACTTAAAACTTCAGGAAAGGAGATTCCATCTGAACATTAGGAAGAACTTGCTAACTTTGGAGCTGTTCAGCAGTGGAACTCTCTGTCCGGAGTGGGGTGGAGGCTCCTTTGGAGGCTTTTAAACAGAGGCTGGATGGCATCTGTCGAGGCTGCTCGAATGCGATTTTCCTGCTTTTTGGCGGAGGTTAGACTGGATGGCCCACAAAGTCACTTCCAGCTTGATTATATGATTCTATTATTCTATGCAGGAAAATGCAATCAAAGCACCCCTGACAGATGGCTGTCCAGCCTCTGCTTAAAAATCTCTAAAGAAGGAGACTCCACCATGCTCCAAGGCAGCATATTCCACTTTGAATAGCTCTTAATATCAGGGAATTCTTCCTAATGTTTAGGTGGAATCTCTTTTCCCACAATTTGAAACTGTTTTTCCATATCCTAGTCTCTGGATCGACAGAAGATGAGCTTGTCATCCTTTCAAATAGTTAAACATGTCCCTGTTCAACCAAACTACATTTTTTCCTGGTATTGATAGTAGGCTCACAGCGCTCTTTATTTTGCACCCCCCCCCCCCCCCGATTTTGAGGATGAGGGCAACATTTCTTAGAATCATAAAATAATGGAGTTGGGTTCACTTGTGGGGTTCAAAAGGCTCTTTAATTGTAGGTGAACCATAAATCCCAGCAACTACAACTCCCAATTGTCAAGGTCTATTTTCCCTAAACCACATTTGGGCATATTGAGTATTTGTGCCAAGTTTGGTCCAGATCCATCATTGTTTGCATCCACAGTGCTCTCTACAACTCCAAAACTCAAGGTCAATGCCCACCAATCCCTCTCAGTATTTTCTGTTGGTCATGGGAGTTCTGTGTGCCAAGTTTGGTTCAATTCCATCTTTGGTGGAGTTCAGAATGCTCTTTGATTGTAGGTGAACTATAAATCCCAGCAACTACAACTCCCTAATGACAAAATCAATCCCCCCAACCCCACCAGTATTCAAATTTGGGCATATTGGGTATTTGTGCCAAATTTGGTCCAGTAATACATCCTGCATATCAGATATTTACATTACCATTCATAAAAGTAGCAAAATGACAGTTATGAAGTAGCAATGAAAATAATTTTATGGTTGGGGGTCAGTACAACAAGAGGAACTGTATTAAGGGATCTTAGTATTTCTTAGGAAGGTTGAGAAACACTGCTAGAACTCAATGGTTACAGTTATGAAGAGATAGTGCAAAGCAGAGACAAGGTCATTGTACCCAGAGGCTGAAACATAAGCAAAGAGAACCCAGGTGTGAAAAAGAGTGATGTCATGTGTAAGAATTAGATTTCTTAAGTGTTTTGAAATAATGTTCGTTAGGAGATGAACGTTGGATTTTCATTGGTCAAGTCACCTGTCTTGGGAACTCTGAGTTAGGATTTCTTATCTTTAGTTCTGTATCTTGCTTTCTTGTTTAAGAGCAATGCTTCTTGATTGGATTACAATTCTTGGTTTAAGTTTGCAAGCCATTGGATACATTTTTGTGCATGTTTTCAAGCCTTTGGATATAGTTTTGGCTTAAGGGTTGAAACCCCTGGATTACAGTTTCTTGTTTTATTTTATTTTTACTATTTATTTACAGTATTTATATTCCACCCTTCTCACCCCGCAGGGGACTCAGGGTAGATTACAATGTACATATACATAGCAAACATTCAATGCCATAGACACACAACATATATAGACAGACACAGAGGCTATTTAACATTCACTTTTCATGAGGGTATTCTGGCCACCAGGGGAGCTGTTGCTTCACTGTCCATTTGTGACACTGATGAAGTACTTCCTCATTCTTTGCATGCTTGCTGGAGATTTTAAAGTTTTCATAAATTAGCCTCCCCACATAAGAGTACCTAAATTTCCTACTTGGCAGATGCAACTGATAGATGATAATGATGTTGGTTTTTATTGTTTTTATTGGTTCCATTGTGGTTTTATACTGTTTTAATGTTCAATTTGTATTTTGTTGTTGTGTGTACTTTTTTTTGTCGTGTCAGGAGCGACTTGAGAAACTGCAAGTCGCTTCTGGTGTGAGAGAATTGGCCGTCTGCAAGGACGTTGCCCAGGGGACGCCCGGATGATTTGATGTTTTTATCATTCTTGTGGGAGGCTTCTCTCATGTCCCCGCATGAGGAGCTGGAGCTGATAGAGGGAGCTCATCCACCTCTCCCCGGATTTGAACCTGCGACCTGTCAGTCTTCAGTCCTGCCAGCACAGGGGTTTAACCCACTGCACCACTGGGGGCTCTGTTGTGTGTACTGACTTGTTGTAAACCACCTTGAGTCACCGATAAGGCTGAGAAAGGCGGTATACAAGTATAGTAAATAAATAAATAAACAAACTGTCTTTCAGGCTGCAAAGGTTGACAGCAAGCTACACAAATTGGTCGGAAGCTCACTCCGACCTGGGCTGGCTTCGAACTCATGACCTTTTGGTCAGTAGTGATCTTAATGCAGCTGACTCCCATCCAGCTGTGCCACAGTCCCAGTGTTTTACCCTTTCGGGATTTTGTATTCATATTCAGAGTTGGTCAGTGCTACTTGCTACGCTCAAGAATATTAAACTTATGGCTATTACTTTGGAAATGCTTTCACTGTCTGGTTTTTGAGGGTACCTTAGTGATTGCTTAGTCTTCTGATTTTGGAATGACTCTTTTCTTAATAGGCATATTACTTATTGTTGAACCATGTGGTGTTTGGGTGAAAAGGATTCGGGCAGGCAGCTGGGCTGCAACAATAGGATGCACAAAATATTTTCTGAGCATATGTGTGTTTGGTTGGCATTTCTAACAGGTGCATAGAGTTTTCCCTAGCGGACTAGCATCCCAGGAAGGAACTATTCAGAAAGGAGATGAAGTGCTGTCAATCAATGGGAAGTCCCTCAAAGGCTCCTCTCACAACCACGCGCTGGAGATCTTGCGGGACGCTCGCCAAGCAAAGCAGGCAGTGATTGTTACAAGGAAGCCCAGAGAGAGGAAAATAAGCCTCAATGCATCTCTTGAGTCCTCTGTATCGTCAGGAGGTGAAAACTCAACAGACTGCAGTAAGTATATTTGATGGCATCATTTAGCAGTACATGCTCTTTATGGATTCAGGAGTAAACCATTAGTTGTTTGCAAATGTATGCAAGGAAGCTATGGCAACACTGAAATGGATCCTCTCCAAGCCTGGCCCTGGTGGTCCAACCCTTGGGCTCCATCTATGATGCACTTTCCCCTGCCCTAAACTGAATGCCTATCCCATTGTTTATTCTTTTAGAGTTCCCCTCAATTACACAGCGCCTTCCAAGTCTCCCAGTCTTCTGTGTGCCCAGGGGGGAGTCTCTCATCTGGTATCACCAACGGATTGAGGTGCTGGGTTTGGGCCTGCCACTTCTGGGCTCTCGCTTGCTGAGGTGTTCCAGCAAGTGTCTCTGAATATCTAAGAAAACTATTTCTTGATTTAAGTCATTGACGTGCTGGCTGATACCCAAACAAGAGATGAGCTGGAGATGTCTCTGCCTTGGTCCTTTCACTGTTGGCTGCTACTTCCCGGCGGATGTCAGGTGGTGCAATACCGGCTAAACAGTGTAATTTCTCCAGTGGTGCAGGGCGCAGGCACCCCGTGATAATGCGGCATGTCTCATTAAGAGCCACATCTACTGTTTTAGTGTGGTGAGATGTGTTCCACACTGGGCATGCATACTCAGCAGCAGAGTAGCACATCGCAAGGGCAGATGTCTTCACTGTGTCTGGTTGTGATCCCCAGGTTGTGCCAGTCAGCTTTCGTATGATGTTGTTTCTAGCGCCTACTTTGGGAAGATAGTGGCGGGGTATACATAATAATAATAATAATAATAATTATTATTATTATTTTCCTTTAATCAACATCTTCATGGATTTGGGAACTTGGGCTTCAGTGTGACCCCCCTCAACATCACTTTTATTGCGATCCATGTAATTTATTTTCACTTAATTTATGCTTAGGGAAGGCTAGCATTCATTGAATGTTTGTGGTTTTCCTGAATTTCAAACATGATTCTTTCCCAGCTCTACCTGGAAGTGCTGTAGTTGAACCCGACACCTTCTGCTTACAACTCATGTGCTCAACCCTTGAGGTTTTTTTCTATGTATCCCATTCCCCTCTGAAAAATATTGTATTTTAATACAGCATCTGAAGACCTGATTTTCATGGTGACCTTGGAGAAGACCTCTGCTGGCTTAGGGTTCAGTTTGGAAGGAGGGAAAGGCTCCATCCATGGAGATAAGCCAATCGTAATTAACCGGCTATTTAAAGGTATGTATTTAAGGTTGGTTGCAATGGAAGTGGGCTAGCTGTCATTCTATATAGGAAAAATTGAAAAATCCTATAGAAATAGTCATTTATACCTTCCCAGGCAGGCTGTTTGGCAAGGAGAAAGAGAGAAAGAAAACTGGGAGTGGGGGATGATTTTGCCTAATATAATAAAATAGTAATAATAATGATTTTTTGTCATGTCAGGAGCGACTTGATAAACTGCAAGTCGCTTCTGGTGTGAGAGAATTGGCCGTCTGCAAGGACGTTGCCCAGAGGACGCCTGGATGTTTTGATGTTTTACCATCTTTGTGGGAGGCTTCTCTCATGTCCCCACAATGGGGAGCTGGAGCTGATAGAGGGAGCTCATCCATGCTCTCCCCGGATTCGAACCTGCAACCTGTCGGTCTTCAGTCCTGCCGGCACAAGGGTTTAACACACTGTGCCACCGGGGATTCCTATCATAATAATGATGATATTAATAATATACTTTCTTTACATTCCGCCTTATCTACACAAGGGAACTAAGAGTGGATTACAGTACACATAAATAATATATTGTATATACATATAACCTGTAAGCTGCTTTGGGTCTCCTTTGGGTTGAGAGAAGGAGGGGTATAAAAATAGTAAATAAATAAATAAATGTACCATAATAATAATAATAATAATAATAATAATAATAATAATAATAATAACTTTATACCCTGCCACTATCTCCCCAAGGTGATCTTGGGCGGCTGACATGAGGCCAAGCCCAACAAAATACATCAGTAAAAAACAACAAAGCAAACAAGCAAATATATCACAATACAATATCATAAATAACATAACATAAGCAATAACACACAAATAACACACAAAAGATTTAAAACCAACATAGTTGGTTTACTCACAAACTTCATGTATTCCGCATACAGATCCTTTGCATGTGAATCCAGTTATAGATAGGATTTGAAGTTGTTTCTCTGTGTTGGTAACACAGGACATCATTTCTTATAATCAACAGTCCAAAGTTCAAAACGTCTCTCTGTTCTGAGATTCTAATAGAGTATCTGTCTAGTCTGAAAGTCCAATGGAATCTGTAGAGGGACTCAGCTGGTCTGAGTCCCTCTACAGAGGTTGAGAAGATCGGGATATAAAAGTTTTAAATAAATAATAAAATAAATAAATCTGTAGAGTCTGAGAGTTTGGAAGTATACTGTTCCTTTTGAAGTCTAAAGCAAACAGTTCCCAAAATGGAGTCTGAGTCCTGAACAAGCCCAGATCTGATCACATGGTCTGCAGCCCCTTCCACAACATAGATCCAAGGAAAAGCTGCAAACCAATATACAAATGTACGAGGGTTGAATAAAAAGTAATGCCTCCACCTTCGTAACTCTTCAACAGATGGCAGTACTAGTATGTGGCAGGTACTGGCTTGCTCAGTAGACTCTCCTCTACAGTTCCATTTTGGCAGGAAGCCTTAGCATTGAACGGTTGTGTTGTTAAAGTGCGAAGTATGGAACTCTGCGCAGACTGTCGGTCAATGTGACTTAAGCAACGTGCAGTCATTGAATTCTTGACAGCAGAAGGTGTCACCCCAAAGGAGATTCCTCAGAGAATGCAACCTGTTTATGGTGATTGTGTTGAAGTGAGCAGGGGTGGCTCAACCATTACGCAAAGTAAGCAATTGCAGTATAGTTGATTTTGCACAGGGGCGCTCTTGAGGCGTTCTTGGGAGAAAATAGACCTTGACATATGCAAGTTGTAGTTACTGGGATGTATAGTTCACCTACAATCAAAGAGCATTCTGAACTCCACCAATGATGGAATTGAACCAAATATGGCACACAGAACTTCCATGACGAACAGAAAATATGTATCAGTGATTGGTTGGGGGGGGGGGGGCAAAATACTGTTTGCTTACCATTGAAAATTACCTAGGGCCGCCTCTGGATGTGAGTACTGTGCGTTGTTGGGTGAGTAAGTTTAAAGAGGTTGAGGCAACACCTTCTGTCAAGAATTCAACGACTGCGCGTTGCTTAAGTCGCATTGACCGACCGTCTGTGCAGGGTTCCATACTTTGCACATTAACAGCACAACTGTTCAATGCTAAGGCTTCCCGCCAAAATGGAACTGTAGAGGAGAGACTACTGAACAAGCCAGTACCTGCCGCATAGCAGTACTGCCATCTGTTGAGGAGTTACGAAGGTGGAGGCATTACTTTTCATTCAACCCTCTTACAATACAGTAAGCAATCTGAATTGTATACATAACAAATAACTAGTGAAGGCTTGAGAAGGTCATTTTTCCAACAGTATCTAAGAAGTTAAAGCTGATAAGGTCTATCTGGTGCAATTTTTTGTCTCAGTGCCCCAAATAACCCCAGGAACAGGCCTTAAAAACAGGACAATTAGGCATTATTTCATTGGGCTTTTTAATCAACTACAATGTTGTTAGGTTTGTGTAACTGTTCCCCATTGATATTTACAATTGTAAGACCATTGACATGACTGTAAATGTCCCTGAAATCACCTGCAAAACTCTTTTTCTCTGGCTGGATCTTAAGGTAGGTGAGTCAGGTTGGAATATAGATCAAAGCCATGAAATTGTCTGATGCAGGATTATACAACTTCCTGATGTATTTCAGCCAGCCACACTATGTATTGATTTTGTTTTGTTATGTATCATATATTTCATTACAGTCAATTGTATTACAGTGTATTACATTTCTAACAGAACAAAACAAACAGACAAAAAACAAAATTTGCAAGTTTGGTAGTTGATTAAATGTCCTTTGACCAGTATCTGGCCACTTGGAGTGCCTCTGGTGTTGCTGCAAGAAGGTCCTCCATTGTGCATGTGGCAGGGCTCAGGGTGCATTGCAGCAGGTGGTCAGTGGTTTGCACTTCTCCACACTCACATGTCGTGGATTCCACTTTGTGGCCCCATTTCTTGAGGGGGAGTCTCTCATCTGGTATCACCCATGGATTGAGGTGCTGGGTTTGAGCCTTCCACTTTTGGACTCTCGCTTGCTGAGGTGTTCCAGCGAGTGTCTCTGTAGATCTTAGAAAACTATTTCTAGATTTAAGTCGTTGACGTGCTGGCTGATACCCAAACAAGGGATGAGCTGGAGATGTCTCTGTCTTGGTCCTTTCAATACAATTGACTGGTTGCCCTGACACGACAAAATATATATATATATATTGATTGCTGTTCAGCACATTGGCATTTGGGATGTAATTTCTACACCAATAATGAATCTTGGCTGCTTTTCTTTAGGAGCGGGATCAGAACGCAGCCTTGCTGTTCAACCTGGAGATGAGTTGCTGCAAGTGGGCACCAACCTCATGCAAGGTCTCTCCCGGTTTGAAGCCTGGAACCTCATCAAGACGTTGCCGAACGGGCCGGTTACGGCGGTCATCAAGAGAAAAAGCTCCTTCTCCAGCACAACGGCTGAATCTTCCCATGGAGAGGCGTGACAATAATAATAACAAACTAATCTGGACAAAGAAATGACTTGCTTTCCTTTCTAACAAAATAGCTAATTTTATCGGATGACATGGAATATCTACAAGGGAACTGTTGCACTCCAGGACAGGAAAAGCCCTCTGACTTTAAAACACACCACACAAAATGAAACAAATCTTTTTTTATTGAAGCGTAATAAAATAGCCTGTAGAAAGAAATGCTTGTAAGAAAATAGGAAAGTTCCAAAAAGCAAAAGGTCAGTAAAATGCAGTAACTCAAAGCAATGTCCATAAAAGATATAAAAGCAATCCAAGGCAGTATTTATCCAAACAGGAATCAACAGGATGCAAAGACAATCCAAACGCTGCTAGTCAACACCAAAAGGCTAGAAGCATCCACAGGAACAAGACCCCTGAAACAGGATTTCCACGGCACATGAACTTGATTTCCAAACGATGCCTGATCTAACAGGTTTTCTCTTGAAGCAAACCTTATATCCCAAAACCCAGAAACTGGCTTTGTTTTCCCCCTCCCTTGGCTCTTTTGAACCACCAGCATGAAATAAAGAGTCAGACACAAGAAAATGGATCTAAAAGGCCATTTTCTGACCTATTTATTGAAATAACTTGTAATAAGCTGTAGAGGGAAAATCTGTAAAAATGCAACATATAACTCAAGGCTTAATGGCCACCTAGTGAGCCTAGTCCCTGGGCCAGGTGTCACTCCCTCTGACCACCTCCAAGGACAAGCGTGCACCAAGGATCCTGAGGGCCAAGCAAAATTCTTTGTCTGCAACTCTCAGCCGATCATAGTTGGAAGGCCATCCTGAGGGCACTCCCTCCCAAACCTCAGAGTTTTTCAAGAGTGAGAACCCTCAATCCAGCCCCAAGGGTAGCTCCCATTTTATGAAAACTTATGGGGACTTTTGTGGGAGTCCACCCTTCACCCCCTAAGGCAGGGGTGCCACGGTGCCTACCATAACCATTTAACCTTTAACATGCCATGGAAACTTATTAATACTCAAGGAAACCTATTTAAATGACACCACCTTAAAGCCAATTACCACACCCATCTGAAACAGTATGGGGTAGGCGAAAAAAACCCCAATGCAAACTTGGGGGAAAAAATTCCTACCCAGCCCATGTGCGACCAGTCTATACTCACACTGTCCATAGGGAGGGAGGATGGGTCACGCCGTCAAAAGGAAACTGAAAGAGAGGAACAGAGCAGCCTCACCCAACTTGCTGCTCCGCCCCCTCACATGCATGGGCCAGCAAACTAGCTGGCCCAAACCAAGTCTGCCTCCTTCATGGGGTAATTCAAAATGCCCCCCTCCCCCTACATCTTAAGCTTTGCTTGGCTGCGGGTGAACATTGAGTTTGTTGTCGATCCTGGCTGAACTCTAGCCACCTATTTTTCAACTCCCTTTCTGGCTGCTCATTAAAATTTCCAGGTGTTAGATTGTTTTTCAAACCCAAATCTTGAGAGCTCACAGAGAGAGGGAGTAAACCATCATCCCTATGCCCAGCAGGAATATTCTCATGAGAAACTGCCCTTTGCACTGGGGCCTCTCTGTCATTGTCTGCATGAAAATCATTGACCAAACCATCTCCATCTTGCACCTCAGCCTCGGCACCATCATTTCCCTCATCATTTCTCACAGCATTGCCCACATCATTGCCCACATCAGAAGCATCATGATCCTGGAACACAAACACAGGCTGATTCCCAACAGGAACTAGGCAAGAGACATTATTATCCTTCAACTTCCTAAGAGAAGACAAGTCTTTCAAACCTTGAACAAGCAAGGTAACATTTCTAAAACTACAAAGCAATAATCCTAAAATCCTCTTCACCATGATATTACCCCAGAGACCACTGGACAAAGAAAGTCATTGCAAGAAATCAGAAGTGTGTCAAGAACTTACTTAGGCGATCCCTCGCAGTTCAAGGATGATAGTCCTCCAAGTGTAGTGTCTTGGTGGTAGGTCCGTAGGTGGCTGTGGAGCCCTATTCTTGATCCGCATGTTCTCCTGCAATGAGGACATAGGTTTCCAGGTGGAAAGTGGTCCTGGTAAGGGATGGCTTGATGCACCTTCCTCATGGCACATTTCTCCCCTTTGCCCTCCATTCGTGCCTCTTTGAATTCTGCAACACTGCTGGTCACAGCTGACCTCCAGTTATAACGCTCAAGGGCCAGGGCTTCCCAGTTCTCGGTGTATATGCCAAAGTTTTTAAGGTTGCCTTTAAGCCCATCTTTAATCCCTTTTCCTGTCTGTCAACAATCAAGAACTGGAAACATCTGTGAAGGGAAGTCCTGCTGCCCTGGAGACTAGGACAGGGAACAATGGCTTCAAGCTACAGGAAAGGAGATTCCACCTGAACATTAGGAAGAACTTCCTGACTGTAGGAGGTGTTCAACAGTGGAACTCTCTCTGCCTTGGAGTCTAGTGGAAGCTTCTTCCGTTGCTGCCTTGGAGTCTGGTGGAGTCTGGTGGAAGCTTCTTCCATTGTTGTTGTTGTTGTTGTTGTTGTTGTTGTTGTTGTTGTTGTTGTTGTTAATTCATTCAGTTGCCTCTGACTCTTTGGGCCCTTCCACACAGCCCTGTATCCCAGAATATCAAGGTAGAAAATCCTACAATATCTGCTTTGAACTGGGTTATCTAAGAACACACTCAGATAATGTGGGTTTTTTCTGCCTTGATGTTCTGGGATATAGAGCTGTGTGGAAGGGCCCTAGGACACGGAACAATGGCTTCAAGCTACAAGAAAGGAGATTCCACCTGAACATGAAGAAGAACTTCATAACTGTGAGAACTGTTCAGCAGTGGAACTCTCTGTCCCGGAGTGTGTTGGAGGCTCCTTCTTTGAAGGCTTTTAAACAGAGGCTGGATGGCCATCTGTCGGGGGTGCTTTGAATGCAATTTTCCTGCTTCTTGGAACAATGTCTTGGTGTAAAATTTTCTTCCTCCTCCTTGCTGATATTACGAATCCCTTTGTTTATATTGTTACTTACTCGTAATACAGTGGAGTGGCAGTAGGGACATCAGTATTAGCAGCTTCACTCCCCAACTTTACTTTTCACTCAAACAGCAGTCATTTGAGGTCAGGTGCAGGGTCTGATTGAGGTTTTTGTTCAACATATGTCTTCTAATGTTATACTTTTAATTCTTTTGCAAAATTGTGTTCATTGTGATGGAGTAATTTTAATTATGAACATTTTCATATTGTTTCCTATCATATAAATGTGTTAAATACAGACAAGGAATGATATACTGTGTTGAAATGCTTAAAAGAACTCAAGGTACACATTGTCTATCTTTAGGAGTAGCTTTAAAATGTGCACTTTTTCCAGTTACAGTTTTGGGCTGGAGCCTCATCCAAAAGTAAACAATTAGCAATATAACTCTCAAATTCTCTCCCTTTGACATTAAAAGATGTCTTCAAGGATCCAAATAATAAAGGTGAAGGTTTCCCCCCTGACATTAAGTCCAGTCGAGTCCGACTCTGGGGGGTGGTCATCTCCATTTCTTAGCCGAAGCGCCGGTGTTGTCCATAGACATCTCCAAGGTCATGTGGCCGGCATGACTGCATGAAGCGCCATTACCTTCCCGCCGGAGCACTACCTATTGATCTACTCACATTTGTATGTTTTCGAACTGCTAGGTGGTAGAAGCTGGGGCTGACAGCAGAAGCTCACGCCACTCCCTGGATTCAAACCTGCGACCTTTTGGGAGGGTTGGTGCTCAACATTTCTAAGCTGAAGAGCCAGCATTGTCCATAGATAGATACCTCCAAGGTCATGTGGCTGGCATGACTGCATGAAGTACCGTTACCTTCCCGCCGGAGCACTACCTATTGATCTAGTCACATTTGCATGTTTTCAAACTGCTAGGTTGGCACAAGCTGGGGCTGACAGTGGAAGCTCACACTGCTCCCTGGATTCGAACCTGTGACCTTTCCGTCAACAAGCTCAGCAGCTCAGCAATTTAACCCACTGTGCCACTGGGGACTCCCAAGGATCCTAATGGTCAGTTTATATTAATTAAGGGACACCTTATCTCCCAGGATGTAGTCCTCCTGGGAGTTATAGTTTTCCAAGGTCCATACCCTGCTCTGTGTGCATCTCCACTCTGGAATGAATGCAGTTGGACCTTACTTTAAATGCCATGTCTCTGTTAGATGGTCTTGGGAATTGCAGTTTCCCAAGGTCCATGAACCTTCTCTGGATACATCTTCACTGTGAAATTAATGCAGCTGGGCTTACTTTAAATACCATAGATCCATACTGTGCAGTCCTGGGAGTTATAGTTTCCAAGGTCCATACCCTTCTCTGGGTGCATTTCCACTGTGGAATGAATGCAGTTGGACCTTACTTTAAATATTATGTCTCTTTGATATGGTCTTGGGAATTGCAGTTTCCCAAGGTCCATGAATCTTATCTGGGTACATCTCTGTTGTGAAATGAATGCAGCTGGACCTTACTTTAAATACCATAGATCCATACTGTGCAATCCTGTGAGTTATAGTTTCCCAAGGTCCATATCCTTCTCTGGGTGCATTTCCACTGTGGAATAATTGCAATTGGACCTTATTTTAAATGCCATGTCTCTATGAGATGGTCTTGGGAATTGCCGTTTCCCAAGGTCCAAGAACCTTCTCTGGATACATATTCACTGTGGAATGAATGCAGTTGGACCTTACTTTAAATATCATGTCTCTTTGAGATGGTCTTGGGAATTGCAGTTTCCCAAGGTCTATGAATCTTATCTGGGTACATCTCTGTTGTGAAATGAATGCAGCTGGACCTTACTTTAAATACCATAGATCCGCACTGTGCAATCCTGGGAGTTATAGTTTCCCAAGGGCCATATCCTTCTCTGGATGCATCTCCACTGTGGAATGAATGCAGTTGGACCTTACTTTAAATGCCATGTCTCTGTTAGATGGTCTTGGGAATTGCAGTTTCCTAAAGTCCACGAACCTTCTCTGGGTACATCTCTGTTGTGAAATGAATGCAGCTGGACCTTACTTTAAACACCATAGATCCACACTGTGCAGTCTTGGGAGTTATAGTTTTCCAAGGTCCACACCCTTATCTGTGGGGCAGGCCAGAGAGAGAGAGGGAAGTTGAGAGATAGAGGGAGAGTGTGTCGCCACTTTCTCTCCAGAATTGAAGACACGTAACAGCTGACATTTCAGAGAGAAGGGTTTATTCCCACAAAAAACACAGGGGACGGGATGGTGAGCGGTGCCTAGCGATTACAGTGTGATGGCAAATCTGAGTAGCACAGATACATTTAACAGTGTGATGAAGGTAGGGAAATCATCCGTTTCATTTCAAAACTGAGTATGACCGAGCTGTACACTTCCCTGCTTCAATGTGATGACGTCCCTAGAGAGGAAATGCATCGCTCTGGGGAATCATGATAGAGCCGACGGGTGACAGGTATCCCTAGATTGCAATTCAAATCAGTTACTAGGTGAAGAACAGCAACTGTTTTAAGAGCACCATTTTAATCATCACAAATCCATGTAACATTAATTACACAATAGTGTCTTACAACAACCCTGTTGTCACTGGAGATATGCAGTCAGCAGAATTATACATTATAGCTGTAGAACAGCAGAACAATATCATGGCACCAGGAAACACCTTAGACGTCTTCAAGTGCAACTTCTTGTTCGGTTTAGGACACAGCAGACTCATCTCTGATAGGCGACCATCCACCTCACACCTGCTTTGATACTTCTACAATCCACCACCTGTCCAGGTAATTATTGTATCCTTCTGTCAAACAGCACTCGCTAGTGGGCAATGGCTCCTGAAGATATTGACAAGCTGGAATGTGTCCAAGGAGGGTGACTAAAATGATCAAGGGTCTGGAGAACAAGCTCTATGAGGAGCGGCTTAAAGAGCTGGGCATGTTTAGCCTGAAGAAGAGAAGGCTGAGAGGAGACATGATAGCCACGTATAAATATGTGAGAGGAAGCCACAGGGAGGAGGGGGCATGCTTGTTTTCTGCAGCCCTGAAAACTAGGACACAGAACAGGGCTTCAAACTTCAAGAAAGGAGATTCCATCTGAACATTAGGAAAAACTTCACTGTGAGAACTGTAAGTAAGTAAGTAAACTTTATTATGGTCGATGACCAGATCATAACATGGGGACCCAGTCCCGTACATCCACATCAAACCCAAGATGTCAACAAATTTTAAAATCTAAGCTAAAAACCAATACAAGTAGTTATTAAAACCTAACTCAACCCACAAGATCATCCGAAGGCAGTCTAAAGAGAGGTAGTGGGGATGGCACCGGGGAGGGGGGGAATATCCAACACTATAAATATCAGTCTATATCTGATTTCCCATCTATATTCCAGAGGTGAAGCTTGGGTCTTTTAACCCTCAATCATCCCACTAGAGCCCCCGGTGGCACAGTGGGTTAAACCCCTGTGCCGGCAGGACTGAAGACCGACTGGTCACAGGTTCGAATCCGGGGAGAGGCAGATGAGCTCCCTCTATCAGCTCTAGCTCCTCATACGGGGACATGAGAGAAGCCACCCACAAGGATGATAAAAACATCAAATCATCCAGGCATCCCTGGGCAACGTTCTTGCAGACGGCCAATTCCCTCACACCAGAAGCGACTTGCAGTTTCTCAAGTTGCTCCTGACATGACAAAAAAATAAAAATCATCCCACTGTGAGAGCTGTTCAGCAGTGGAACTCTCTGCACTGGAGTGTGGTGGAGGCGCTTTCTTTGGAGGATTTTAAACCGAGGTTGGGTGGCCATCTGTTGGGGGTGCTTTGAATGTGACTTTCCTGCTTCTTGGCAGGAGGTTGTACTGGCTGGCCCTTGAGATCTCTTCCAACTCTATGATTCTAGGCATGGATGGCAGAGTTCCATGCGAACTCCTATCTTGCCCATCACAAACCCCACACCCGCTTTGGGAAGGTGTGGTGCTGGCACTGCCTTGGCTCACTGCTCCCACATCACTTAAAAGATGGCAGCTTTCCACTAATGGCATGTCAACATTGCCGAGCCCTAGTCCAGGTGTTCAAAGTAATTTCAATGGATACTCCCCTTGATATTAGTTGGATCCAAGGGACAGGCTCTAAACATTCAGGTATCAGTGTAACATTTTTAGAATAGCATTTGTTTACTCAGTTACAATGTCATAAATTAGATTTACACAACATCATTAACTGTTCCATATTCTCATTTGTGATGGTAGCACTACTGTTAGCAATAGAATTGAAACAATTGATAAATGGGTTGTTGTAGGTTTTTCCGGGCTATATGGCCATGTTCTGGAGGCAATTTTTCTCCTGACGTTTCGCCTGCATCTGTGGCAAGCATCCTCAGAGGTAGTGAGGTCTGTTGGAAGTAGGAAAAGTGGGTTTATATATCTGTGGAATGACCAGGGTGAGACAAAGGACTCTTGTCTGCTGGAGCTAGGTGAGAATATTTCAGCTGATCATCTTGATTAGCATTCAATGGCTTGGAAGGGCCTGGGGGGAATCTTTTGTTGAGAGGTGATTAGATGTGCCTGTTTGTTTCCCCTCTGCTGTTTTGCTGTTGTAATTTTTGAGTTTTTTAATACTGGTAGCCAGATTTTGTTCATTTTCATGGTTTCCTCCTTTCTGTTGAAATGGTCCACATGCTTGTGGATTTCAATGGCTTCTCTGTGTAGTCTGACATGGTTGTTGTGAGTGTGGTCCAGCACTTCTGTGTTCTCAAATAATATGCTGTGTCCAGGTTGGTTCATCGGGTGCTCTGCTATGGCTGATTTCTCTGGTTGGAGTAGTTTGCAGTGCCTTTCATGTTCCTTGATGCAAAATCTGGCTACCAGTATTAAAAAAACTCAACAATTACAACAGCAAAACAACAGAGGGGAAACAAACAGGCACATAAAATCACTCTCAACAAAAGATTCCCCCAGGCACTTCCAAGCCATTGATTGCTAATCAAGGTGATCAGCTGAAACATTCACACCTAGCCCCAGCAGACAAAAGTCCTTTGTCTCACCCTGGTCATTCCACAGATATATAAACCCATTTTTCCTACTTCCAGCAGACCTCACTACCTCTGAGGATGCTTGCCATAGATGCAGGCGAAACGTCAGGAGAAAAATTGCCTCCAGAACATGGCCATATAGCCCGGAAAAACCTACAACAACCCAGTGATTCCGGCCATGAAAGTCTTCGACAATAGATTGCTGAATTTTTCCATTTCAGATCTTTGTTCCTCCAAAGAGAAGATTGGTTCTTTCAATGAGAAGAAAAGCAGTATAGTACTCATTGACTCAAGACATAGGTTTAAGTCAGGCATGGGCAAACTTGGGCCTTCCAGATGTTTTGGACTTCAACTCCCACAATTTCTAACATCCTCAGGCCCTTTCCTTTCCCCTCAGCCGCTTAAGCGGCTGAGGGCGAAAAGGAAATAGCCTGCGGCTGTTAGAAATTGTGGGAGTTGAAGTCCAAAACATCTGGAAGGCCCAAAGTTTGCCCATGTCTGATTTAAGTCTTTCCAATTCAAAATCAATGGGTTTCCATGGGGCTTAGCTTTGGGTAGATCATAATTTGAGATGTTTCTGACCTCTGCTCCTAGTAGTTCTGCCCTTGCATAACCTGAGAGTGGAATTACACAAACCCTTGAGATACACCCATTTTCCCTTGAGAAACAAACTGTTTATGCCAGTAGTTTTACTACTGCTTTGGCCAAGCCGTTGTAAAAACCAGTTATGCTGCTTGGAAAGAAGGATTCCACCACCGTCTGTGGGAGGTTACCACCCAGATCAGTCTGAAAGAAACTGAGGAGCTGCGTCTTGTTGGGCTCCCTGTAGGAAAGCAAACAAACAACTCACAAACAAGACAATAATAATAATAATAATAATAATAATAATAATAATAATAATAATGTATTGTCAAAGGCTTTCATGGATGGAATCAATGGGTTGTTGTAGGTTTTTTCGGGCTATATGGCCATGTTCTAGAGGCATTCTCTCCTGACTTTTCGCCTGCATCGATGGCAAGCATCCTCGGATGTAAACTAACCCCACATTTCCTTCCTAGTGCTTGTACTAATTGTTCTTCTAGATCAGTGGTTCTCAACCTGTGGGTCCCCAGATGTTTTGGTCTTCAACTCCCAGAAATCCTAGCAGCTGGTAAACTGGCTGGGATTTCTGGGAGTTGTAGGCCAAAACACCTGGGGACCCACAGGTTGAGAACCACTGGTCTAAACAATAAGAAAGGGGGAGAAAAAAAGTGGATGGGTGGCAAAACATAATATGGATAGTTGATATTGCAATCCCAGGCAACAGCAGAATTGAAGAGAAACAACTGGAAAAGATGACACGATATGAGGATTTAAAGATCGAACTGCAAAGACTCTGGCTCAAGCCAGTAAAGGTGGCCCCAGTGGGAATCGGTACACTGGGTGCAGTGCCTAAAGACCTTGGCCTGCACTTTAATACAATTGGTGCTGACAAGATTACCATCTGCCAGCTGCAGAAGGCCACCTTACTGGGATCTGCACACATTATTCGCTGATACATCACACAGTCCTAGACACTTGGGAAGTGTCCGACGTGTGATCCAATACAACAGCCAGCAGAGTGTCTGCTGTGGACTCATCTTGTTGTGTTTCAAATAATAATAATAATAATAATAATAATAATAATAATAATAAATAATGACACAATATGAGGATTTAAAGCTCAAACTGCAAGGACTCTGGCACAAGCCAGTCAAGGTGGCCCCAGTGGTGATCGGCACACTGGGTGCAGTGCCTAAAGACCTCGGCTTGCACTTAAGCACAATCGGCAATGACAAGATTACCATCTGCCAGCTGCTGAAGGCCACCTTACTGGAATCTGCATGCATTATTCGCCGATATATCACACAGTCCTAGACACTTGGGAAGTGTCCGACGTGTGATCCAATTCAACAGCCAGGAGAGTGTCTGTTGTGGACTCATCTTGTGGTGTTTCAAATAATAATAATAATAATAATAATAATAATAATAATAATAAATAATGACACAATATGAGGATTTAAAGATCGAACTGCAAAGAGAGACTGTGAGAGCCGTTCAGCAGTGGAACTCTCTGCCCCAGAGTGTGGTGAAGGCTCCTTCATTGGAAGGTTTTAAACAGAGGCTGGATGGCCATCTGTCAGGGGTGATTTGAATGCAATACTCCTGCTTCTTGGCAGGGGGTTGGACTGGATGGCCCACGAGGTCTCTTCCAATACTTTGATTCTATGATTCTATGATTCTATGAAGGACTGTGGCACAAGCCAGTAAAGGTGGCCCCTGTGGTGAATGGTACATTGGGTGAAGTGCCTAAAGACCTTGGCCTGCACTTAAACACAATCGGCGCTGACAAAATTACCATCTTCCAGCTGCAGAAGGCCACCTTACTGGAATCTGCACGCATTATTCACTGATATATCACACAGTCCAACGTGCGATCCTGTCTGCTGCGGACTCATCTTGTTGTGTTGCAAATAATAATAATAATAATAATTTTTATTATTATTATTTGTCTTTTGCAGTTGACAGATTGTGATTGACTGGATCTGCTTGCATATGATAAAGAAGACTCTGTCTTTGAGAGCTTATGCTGCGAATGTCTATTACTCAATCTCAAAGTTGTTACAAGGTCCCTTTGCCCGGGTTTGCTGCAATCCTGCCCATAACTGCAAGAACAGATGATCCCCATGCATATGGTTCAGATAGCAAAAAATGCTTGACCATCTTACCCTGGAGTAGGAATGCAGATGCAACCACAGGGATAATTAAGCCCTCTCACATAATTTGGTTGGACTGGACACAGGGGGTGATCAACATGCGTTGCTGTGAGAAAGAAATATGTAAACACAAGGTAAGTTTATATACAAACAAAGCCTCATGAAATAGTAAACACAAAATACCCAAACGATTGTATTCAGCTAGCACATGAGAGGGCTAAAAAGGCAGAAAGGGGAGGAGGTCTTCTTACCCATGCATGCGATCGTCCCATCCTCATGATGTCTAGTCAGGACCACGTCTAAGAACTCCCTTGGAGAAATGATCTTCATGAAAGCAGAGGGTGTCGTCGTTCTAGTTATGCAAACATTCTGCAAAGTGCAAACCAGGATTATACTGTGTGTGCATATCCAGTTTGTACAAGAAAAGGAAATGCAGCATCATTACTTAGATTACCATTTAAACCCCTATACTGACCAGTATCCAGTTGGTGACCTATGCAGGTATAACTGGGTGGTTTCCCCTTGACATGAAGTCTAGTCATGTCCGACTCTGGGGGGTTGGTGCTCATCTCCATTTTTAAGCGGAAAAGCCGGCGTTGTCCATAGACACCTCCAAGGTCATGTGGTCGTCATGACTGCATGGAGCACTGTTACCTTCCCTCTGGAGCAGTACCTATTGGTCTACTCACATTTGCATGTTTTGAATTGCTAGGTTGGCGGAAGCTGGGGCTGACAGCAGAAGCTCACGCGGCTCCCCAGATTTGAACCCGCGATTTTTCGGTCAGTAAATTCTGCAGCTCAGCGCTTTAACCCACTACACCACCAGGGGCCCCATTATTATTATTATTATTATTATTATTATTATTATTATTATTATTATTATTCCACCCTATCTCCCCAAGATAGGATGGATTCCAACATATACAGACACAAAGGCAAACATTCAATGCCTAGACACAAGGATACACAGATAAAGGTAAAGGCTTCCCCTTTCATCTCTGGCTCTGGGGGTGGTGCTTATTTCCATTCCTAAGCCGAAGAACCATTGCTGTCCATAGACACCTCCAAGGTCATGTGGCCAGCATCCCATCAAAGCAGTACCTGGGTTGTTGTAGGTTTTTTTCGGGCTATATGGCCATGTTCTAGAGACATTTTCTCCTGGCGTTTTGCCTGCATCTATGGCAAGCATCCTCAGAGGTAGTGAAGTCTGTTGGAACTAGGAAAATGGGTTTATATATCTGTGGAATGACCAGGGTGGGACAAAGAACTCTTGTCTGTTAATTCATCTTCTGGCTGATGTTGATATGGAGGTGCAGCAGTTCCTTGTCTATGTTTGCGAGTTCTTTGCGGATGGTGTGAATTCTCTCTCGTAAGAGGTAACCTCATGGACTAGACCACGCTCGATCACGCTCATAAGAGGTTGTGTTCCAGGCGGTCATAGATCCGGTGAGCCTGTGGTGTTTTGAAAGTCCTTTTGGCTGCGAGAAATTGTGGAATGGTATCTGTGTCTCTGCAGCGTAGAAGGAAAGTCAGTGAGCACAATAGATGTGCTTTCCTAGTCCTTAGTTTTTCCAATTTTCGTGTGTCTTGGAACAGTTTCTCCCCATTGAGATGTTCAATGTATTGTCGAAGGCTTTCATGGCTGGAATCACTGGGATGTTGTAGGTTTTTTCAGGCTATACGGCCATGTTCTAGAGCCATTTTCTCCTAACGTTTCGCCTGCATCTATGACAAGCAAGCAGTACCTATTGATCTACTCACATCCCCTGTTTGGATATCAGCCAGCACGCCAACGACATAAATCAAGAAAGTTTTCTAAGATCTACAGAGACATTCACTAGAACACCTCAGCAAGTGAGAGTCCAAAAGTGGCAGGCTATAACCCAGAACCTTGATCCATGGCTGATACCAGATAAGAGACTCCCTCCTGGGCACACAGAAGACTGGGCGACGTGGAAGTCACGGAACCACGAGATACAGAGCCAACCTTAAGAAATTGGGCTACAAAGTGGAGTCCACGACATGTGAGTGTGGAGAAGAGCAAACCACAGACCACCTGCTGCAATGCAACCTGGGCCCTACTACATGCACAATGGAGGACCTTTTTAGAGTAACACCAGAGGCATTCCAAGTGGCCAGTGACTGGTCATAATGCCAAATTTGCAAACTTTGTGGGTTTTTTAATTTAATACAGTACAACTGTTTGGTTCGCTCCTGACATGATAAATAAATAAATACTCACACTTGCACGTTTTCGAACTGCTAGGTTGGCATAAGCTGGGGCTAGCAATGGGAGCTCATCCCATCCCACAGATTCAAATCACCGACCCTGTGCTTCCGCAGCCCCTGGTAATCCGTAATGTTACCGCTGAACATTAACAAAATAATAACCTCAGACAATTTACATTAAGGTAATGTAGACAATTTTTTTAAGCCAAGGTTGTAGTAAAAAAATCTGAACTAGCTTAAGAGCAAATATGAAAGAATTGGCAAAGATATATCACGAAATACTAAAGTGAGGACTGTATTTCCCATCACTAAACTGGGCAATGAAGGAAACGGATAGAAAGACAATCAAGTAACAGCAAACCACAACAGTGCACTTACTTCATTAATTGTTTCAACGACTGCAACTTCCTTCACATTTTGATCCCATTTTTCTCGAAGTCCACCAGTTTCCGGCCGTAAACACTTAAAGACATCCTCTGTTTTTGCTGGTATCATTCCTTCGGCTTTGTATCTTTATGGAGAAATAAAATAACAACAATCTGAAAACTGAAATCAAAATCTGTCCCCAAATAGTACTCTAGATACCACATTCTCTTTTATTCCTAAACATGGTGGAGCTCTAATCCAGACTGCACACTGTTTTATCTTCTTACACATCCCTGGATGTAGTCAGGTAATAATAATAATAATAATAATAATAATAATAATAATAATAATAATATACTTTATTTATATTCTGCTCTATCTCCCTGAGGGAACTCAGAGCGGATTACAGAATACATATATTATTCTGTAATATATTATTCTGTAAACATTCAATGCCATTATGCAATTAACAACAAAGACAGACAGCACACAGACAGAGGCAAAGGCTTCCCCCTTTGCATCTCTGGCATCTAGAGGCTGTGCTCAACTCTGGCCATGGGGAGGTGCTCTTGTTCCATTTTCCATGCCATAGAGACTGTTGTCTGTGGATGCCTTCCCGATCAAAATGCCAGCATGTCTGCAGGGCACCTTTTACCTTCCCGTCAAAGTGGTCCCTATTGATCTACTCACATTATTGTTTTCGAACTGCTAGGTAGGCAGAAGCTAGGGCTGACAGCAGGAGCTCACCCCGACTCATGCCTTTGAACTGACAACCTTCCCATCAGCAAGATTTTCTGCACCTGGCAGTTTAATTCGCTGTGCTCCCACGGCCCCAACATAGTAGCATATTAAGGAATGTAGTATTCTTTAGTATTACCTTTCAGCCGTATTCAGTATCATTCTTTAGTATTACCTTATCTAATGTTGCAGTTTCTGGCTCCTCTGACTGATCTTGAAGCCCTACACTTTCTGAGTCAGATTTCTCATCGAGAGAAGCATCATTCCCCTGACTTAAATCTTCATCACTTCGATCCCCAGGAAATCCCACAGGCAATCCCACAATCCTCTCTAATTCATCAGTGAACCCATCAGCCTCACAAGTCTCAGACTGATCTCCAACACAAGCTCACTTTCATTTGGAAACATATGTAACAAAAGCAGTATCTTATACTACTTACAAAAGCATAAGAAAAACATATTCTATTTCTGTACAGTTCTACTTACAGGTTTCCACGAAACTCCGAAGACGGTCTCCAAGAAATTGCAACTTCATTCTAGGGAGACGAGGAGAAAACATTGGAGGGGGGAAAAAACCAAGACATTATTCTATAGGATCTTATTCTTTGGCACAACTGTTCTCAGGTTTAATATTTCTGAAATTTAAAACAATCACTGCCATGACGGTATTTATGCAGCTTTCTCAAATCATGCTTCTTGGCAGGGGGTTGGACTGAAAGCCCTAAATGGTTTGGAACCCACCTACCTTCGTGACCACATCTCCTACCAACAACCTGCACGATCCCTCCGATCCTCTGGGGAGGACCTCCTTTCGCCTCTTCCTTTTTCACAGGCAAGCCTTGTGGGAACGTGGGAGAAAGCCTTCTCCGCTGTGGCTCCCCGACTCTGGAACTCACTACCTGGTGAGATTAGGCAAGCACCCACCTTAGCAGCCTTTAAGAAAAGCCTGAAAACTTGGCTCTTCCAATGTGCCTTCGGAGAGTGACCATTTATCCCATTTCTGTCTGCTCCATCTATAGTGTTGTCCCTATGATGCACTTTCCCCCATCCTAAACTGAAAATGATAAACTCACTGTTTATTCTTTTTGCACTCCCTTCAATTACATAATTTATATTCCTACCTCATCCAGGGTTTTATCATTTTATCTTGTTCATTCGGCCAGCCCATACTATTCGATTTTATATTGTGTTAATTTGCCTATTTATGGTTAGACCACACTTGGAATATTGTGTCCAATTCTGGGCACCACAATTGAAGAGAGATATTGAGAAGCTGGAATGTGTCCAGAGGAGGGCGACTCAAATGATCAAGGGTCTGGAGAACAAGCCCTATGAGGAGCGGCTTAGGGAACTGGGCATGTTTAGCCTGAAGAAGAGAAGGCTGAGAGGAGAGATGATAGCCATGTATAAATATGTGAGAGGAAGCCACAGGGAGGAGGAGGGAGCAAGCTTGTTTTCTGCTTCCCTGGAGACTAGGACGCAAGGGAACAATGGCTTCAAACTACAAGAAAGGAGATTCCATCTGAACATGAGGAAGAACTTCCTGACTGTGAGAGCCGTTCAGCAGTGGAACTCTCTGCCCCGGTGTGTGGAGGAGGCTCCTTCTTTGGAAGCTTTTAAACAGAGGCTGGATTGCCATCTGTCAGGGGTGATTTGAATGCAATATTCCTGCTTCTTGGCAGAATGTGGTTGGACTGGATGGCCCTTGAGGTCTCTTCCAACTCTAAGATTCGATGATTATATGAAAATGCATTAATTCTATAGGGTAGATCAGGCATGGGCCAGCTTGAGCTCTCCAGGTGTTTGGACTTCAACTCCCAGAAGTCCTAAAAGCCTCAGGTCCTTTCCTTTTCCCCCTCAGCCACTTAAGCAGTTGGTGCATGTAGCTTAGTAGGCCTCAGACTGAGAGAAACACCTCAGTGAATGAGGTCTGAGAGAGCCCTCATTGTGAGATAGGCCTCAGTGTGAGAGAGACCTCAGTGGGAGAAATGCCTCAGTGTGAAAAGAAAAGGGCCTGAGGCTGTTAGGAATGGTGGGACTTGAAGTCCAAAACACCCAGAGGGCCAAAGTTTGCCCATGCCTGCTCCAGAAGCTGGACTACAATCAAGTCCTGTCTTTCTCCTCATTCAATCCCATGATGAAACAACCCTCTGGGTGTTTTGGACTCCAACTCCCACCCTTTTCTTTCCCCCCTCAGCCGCTTAAGCAGTTCAATATAAGCAGGGGTGCATGTAGCTTAGTAGCCCTCAGGCTGAGAGAAATGCCTCAGTGAATGAGGCATCAGTCTGAGAGAGTCCTCATTGTGAGATAGGCCTCAGTGGGAGAGAGGCCTCAGTGGGAGAGAGGCCTTATTCAATCCCATGATGAAACACCCTCTGGGTGTTTTGGACTCCAACTCCCACCCTTTCCTTTTCCCCCTCAGCCGCTTAAGCAGTTCAATATAAGCAGGGGTGCATGTAGCTTAGTAGCCCTCCGGCTGAGAGAAACACCTCAGTGAATGAGGCCTCAGTGTGAGAGAGGCCTCAGTGTGAGAAATGCCTCAGTGTGAAAATGAAGAGGCCTGAGGCTGTTAGGAATTCTGGAAGTTGAAGTTCAAAGCACCTGGAGGGTCCAAGCTGCCCATGCCGGGGGTAGATGCACCCCTAGAAATCCAAGTGACCAAAGGAAAGTTTTGGTAGTCAGGATTCTTAATTGAAGGGGTAATAATGCCTTCACTGCACCCTCCTCTACTTAACATCTATATCAATGGTTCTCAACCTTCCTAATGCCATGACCCCTTAATACAGTTCCTCATGTTGTGGTGACCCCTAACCATAAAATTATTTTCATTGTTACTTCATAAATGTAATTTTGCCACTGTTATGAATCGTAATGTAAATATCCGGTACGCAGGATGTATTTTCATTCACTGGACCAAATTTGGCACAAATACCCAATATGCCCAAATTTGAATACTAGTGGGGTTGGGGGGAGGGACTGGTTTTATCATTTGAGAATTGTACTTGCTGGGATTTATAGTTCATCTACAATCAAAGATCATTCTGATCTCCACCAATGATGGAACTGAACCAGTCTTGGCACACAGGACTCCCATAACCAACAGAAAACACTAGTAGGGTTTGTGGGTATGGATCTTGAGTTTGGGAGTTGTAGTTCACCTGCATCTGTGGACTCAAACAATGATGAATCAGGACCAAATTTGGCACAAATACTCAATATGCCGAAATGTGAACACTAGTGGAGTTTGGGGGAAATAGACCTTGGCATTTGGGAGTTGTACTTGCTGGGATTTATAGTTCACCTACAATCAAAGAGCATTCAGAACTCCACCAATGATTAAATTGGACTTAACTTTCGACATGTAACCCAGATGACCAAGAGAAAATACTGTGTTTTCTTATGGTCTTTGGCGACCCCTCAGACACCCTCTCACGACCCTCCCCCAGGGGTCCTGACCCCCAGGTTGAGAAACACTGATCTATATCCTTGCCCTATTATACAAGTGCGCCAACTGCAACCGTACCTCACGAAGGCTGATCTGGCCAGGGTGGTCCATGCCTTGGTCACCTCTAGATTGGACTACTGTAATGCGCTCTACGTGGGGCTGCCCTTGAAAACGGCTCGGAAATTTCAACTGGTCCAACGGGCAGCGGCCAGGATGTTAACTGGTGCTCCTTACAGAGAGAGGTCAACCCTCCTGTTCAAGGAGCTCCATTGGCTGCCGTTGATCTACTGAGCCCAATTTAAGGTGCAGGTGCTTACCTACAAAGCCCTGAATGGTTTGGGACCAGCCTACCTGCGTGACCGCATCTCCGTCTACGAACCTATGCGTTCACTTCGTTCATCTGGAGAGGCCCTGCTCGTGATTCTGCCTGTGTCGCAAGCGCGTTTGGTGGGGACACGAGACAGACCTGGCTGTTCTGATGTGCCTTCCCAGAATAGGAAATCTCCAATACCAAGTCCCAGAAGCACTTTATTAGAACTAAGATTGCTGCACACTGCACACTGCACTTACCCTATAACCCTTACATATAACCTGTCACATCAGCACTTTTAATTCTGTACCCTTTACTCTGGCCCGGCCAGTTTTATTGTGCTTTGGTGTATTGTTTTTTGCTTGTTGTTTTGTTGTTTAATATTGCTTTAACTGTTTTTAATTTGCTTTAGGTGTTGTATTGTTATGTTGTGTATTGAGGCCTTGGCCTTTGTAAGCCGCATCGAGTCCTTCGGGAGATGCTAGCGGGGTACAAATAAAGATAATAATAATAATAATAATAATAATAATAATAATAATAATAATACAAGTGTCAACCCAAACTACAAGCTCCATAGGATTCTATAGGATGAAGCCCTGCCAGCAGTCATTGCATAATGTGAATCAACAAAGCCGTATGCTTTTTTTTCTTTCCAGTCTCAAATCTGCTGCAGGCATCTCTGGTGTGCTGATCCATGTTGAACAAAGCTGGTTCCTGGAATACTAGAAGAAGTACGCTCACCTTTACGGTGCTGAAAGAGTCTATTGCAAGCATAAAAGACACAACCTATTCTCCCCACCCCACCCCACCTCCCCATGATGTCACTCCATAGCGTGTCCTCAGAAGCACCAATGAGAGCAGAGGGGGCAGGCTTTCCCCAGTCTGACTCAATGGGATCACAATGTCACTTTTGTCCCAGGATGCCCGGAAAGCATTTCCAGGGGAAATCAGAACAAAGGTGCATCTTCACTGTTGGGTTGTTGTGAGTTTTCCAAGCTGTGTGGCCATGTTCCAGAAGCATTCTCTCCTGACATTTCACCTGTATCTATGGCAGGCATCCTCAGAGGTTGTGAAGTCTTTTGGAAAGTAGGAAAATGAGGTTTATACATCTGTGGAATAATGTCCAGGATGGGAGAAAGAACTCTCGTCTGTTAGACACAAGTGTGAATGTTGCCATTGGCCACCTTGATTAGCATTGAATGGCAAAATACTCAGAAACAGGGGAATTTCAGACAAGGAACAATCAGGGCCAGATAATCACCTCCCAACAAAGGCTGTGGAACTCCCTCTTGAGTGAAATTAGATCTGCTGCATCCCTCTTGACCAGTGTTTCTCAACCTTCCTAATGCCGTGACCCCTTAATACAGTTCCTCATGTTGTGGTGACCCCCAACCATAACATTATTTTGATTGCTACTTCATAGCTGTCGTTTTGCTCCTGTTATGAATTGTAATGTAAATATCTGATATGCAGGATGCATTGTCATTCACTGGACCAAATTTGGCACAATTTGGTACTGGTGGGGTTGGGAGGGGGAGGTTGACTTTGTCATTTGGGAGTTGTAGTTGCTGGGATTTATAATTCACCTATAATCAAATAGCATCGTGAACTCCACCAATGATGGAGCTGAACCAAACTTGCAGGATGTATTTTCATTCACTGGATCAAATTTGGCACAAATACCCAATATGCCCAAATTTGAATACTGGTGGGGTTTGGGTGTGTGTGTGTGTGATTTTGTCATTTGGGAGTTGTTGCGGGGATTTATAGTTCGCCTAGAA